TGTACCAGTTTTCTATTTTTTTACTTGTCCTATTTGTTTTTGACCCTTTTTCCCTTTTTGTGTGCCTTCTTTTTAGTTTATTAATTTTTTATTCTATTTTAACACTTATGCCTCTATTTATCTATTTGTTTATTTATTTATTTTGAGATGGAGTCTCGTTTATTTGCCCAGGCTGGAGTGCAATGTCACAGTCTTGGCTCACTGCAAGCTCTGCCTCCTGGGTTCATGCCATTCTCCTGCCTCAGCCTCCTGAGTAGCTGGGACTACAGGCGCCCGCCACCACGCCCGGCTAATTTTTTTTTTTTTTTTTAGTAGAGACGGGGTTTCATAGTATTAGCCAGGATGGTCTTGATGTCCTTACCTTATGATCCTCCCACCTCAGCCTCCCAAAGTGCTGGGATTACAGGTGTGAGCCACTGCGCCCGGCTGCCTCTTTGTTTTATTTCTAGTGGTTGTTCTAGAGTTTATAGTATACATCTTTAAACTATCATAGTCCATCTTTAAATAATATTATACCACTTCAAATATAGCATAAGAAACCTACAACAGTATACTTTCATTTTTTTCTTTCTGCTATTGTGGTGAGATTTTGCTTTTTACATATGTCATAAACCCCACAATGCATTGTTTTTATTTTTGCTTTAAATAGTCGATTATTTTGTAAAGAGATTTAAAATATTTTTTAAAACTTTTGTATTTGCCCACAAGTTACCATTTCTGGGGCTCTTCATTCTTTGTGTGGATGTAGTTTTTTCATCCAGCTTTTTTTTTCTTGCCTCAAAGACTTCCATTAACATTCCTTGTGCAGCTCTGGTGTTGCATTCTTTCAGCTTTTGTACATGTGAAAAAGTTTTTATTTCATCTTTGTTTTTGAAAGAGATTTTTACTAGGTATAAAATTCTAAGTGGGTAGCACTTTTCTTTCAATATTTAAAAAGGCTGGTTGCTTTCTAAGCTTTGTTAGGCAGGACCAGAGCAACCTCGAGCAACACCCTTGAGTCCTTTATGAGGTGTCCCGTGTATTCAAGGCTTTTTCATTCTACTTGGTGGGGACTGAAACTGTTCTTGGCCCTACATGACCTCCAGGGATGGTTTTGCTCTTTTCTCCCGGTTCACTCCCTGCCTTGGTGCTTTCCTCACAGGTACTTACAGATCAGCACTGAGCAGAAGGCGGGAGAGGAACCTTCTGTGGATCTTCAGGGCCCTCCCCTTCACTCTGTAGAGCTCTCTCTTTCTCTGGTACCCTGCCCTGTGAACTCTGGCCACCTTGGCCTACCTAAATTCTCAACTCTGCCTTCTCAATTCAGGGAGACTGCTGGGACCCATTTAATTGCCTTCTGTCTGTGCCGTGGCCTGGGAGCTCTCAGGCTGTGAGACGAGGTATTGATCATGTTCACCTTGTTTAGTTTCCTTCTCTGGGGGCTACTCTACTGCTCTACCTATTGTCAAATGTCTAAAAAACATGTTTTTCATTCATATTTTTTCTGTTTTTAATTATTCAAGGTGGGAGGGTAAAAGTAATCCCCATCTTTCCATCATGGCTGAAATGTTTCATTTGGGATTTTGATCGGAATTGATGGGACAACTTGACACTTACATCATTCTTTCCTTTTAGGAATAGGGTATATCAATTTATTTCAGTCTTCTTTGAAATCCTCCAGTGCACTTTATGGTCTTACACATTCCTATTGATGTTGCATTTAAAGGCCCCAATACAGGCTCGTTACCTTCTCTCTTAAAGCATGTTCTTCTTACTCTAGTAATTCAGCAAGGGTCTAGAGAAGACCCTGGGGACTCTGCTCCTTAGAGTAGCTTCTAGACCTATCCTCTTCCTCCCACCTCTGCAGGTCAGGAGAAAAGGGCCTGTTCTAGCTTACTCTTTCATGATGGCAGAGCAGCTTGAGCAGCTCTGGACTAGAGGGTATAGATGAGAAAACAGTGGATGCATCCCTCATGGAACCCCAGGGGAAAACTGGCTTAGAGCTGCTTCATCTTGGCATGGCTTGCCTGAAGCTTTCTTCTACTGTTATCCATAGTAGGGCATGAATGTACTATGAGAAGTAAAACCAGAAGATTGAACTATTGGTCTACAGGGGGTGCTATCATCTCCATCTGGTTGTGGGGTCACTCCACCTACCTTATTTATGTTGTGGGCCTGCCTCTTTGACAGATGATTACTAATACACAGAAAAAAAATCATCTCTAATAATATCTCTGGGTTGAACAGGCATTTATGGGCTAGTTAGGGAGGCTGGGGATGTGTGTTCTAAATGTCAACCAACCAATTTAGAAGCAAATTTGGAACTGAGTCTTCCTAAGTTGGGAACTATCTGTTCTTACGAAATCTGTCTTGCAGTAATGACAGTAATAAATTGAGGAGCCCTCAGCGGATTGCAGTTGACACCAGATGGGTAAACACCCATCCTAAGTAATGAGTTGGTTAATTATAGCTGCGCCATGTTCATAGACCTTCAATTAATCTCTTGAGAATATATAACTTTATCCCCTACAATGGCTCATCTGAGCATCTGAGCAGGACTTCTCAGAGGTCAGGCTTCTCCATTAATTCAAAATATATGTCTTAAAAATCTAAGGGCTGGGTGGAATTTAACCTTCTTATTTTCATTATTCCTCTGTGTGGGGATCAGCTTGTATAAAGCAATAGAGAAATGACAAGCCAAATAGAAGAATGATAGGGAGGAGATTTTTAAATATTTTACTGTAGTCACATTATCCCCACCCTCATACTAAGCCAAACAGTCATATGTAACACCCTGATCTCTAGAATGTGGGTGTATTCAGACTTTCTGAAATGGTGAGTTGACTGCCCCACTCAAACATTGGTCCACTCTCTGACAGCTTTACTGGCAAAAGAAAACGTCATTCTAACAAAACGCAATATACCTGGACACTTTGGAGACCCAGCCCATCCTAACTGTAGATCATACCAGTTCAGGAGCAGATAGCCTGGCTGGTCTGTATGGCTTGGGCTCATGTTACAGACCCATGGGTTGCAACCCTGATGCACATTAGCATCACTTGTGGAACCACCCTGAGACCAAATATATCAGAAGCTTTGGGCTGGGACCCAGGTTATACTGTTTTAAACTCTCTAGGTCATTCTAATGTCCAGTCAGGGTTGAGAACCGCTGCTATAGACTACAGCAGTTGTTGCCATTGTGCCAATTTTTAACATTCAACAAATTTATCAAGAGTGGATTTTAATTCATATTATAAAGCAGTACTTTAGTCTTTCCAAGAACTTTGCCAAGTAAGGGAAGATTGCCTGTTTCTCTGGTAGTAGTATTTAGTTCAGGAGATGACAACCTTCTGTTTGTGTGTAACACAGTCCCTTGGTTCTGCTTTTCAATCTTTTCCTTTTCTCTCTACCACACTGTCAATTCAGACCCTCATCACCTTCCAACTGTCTCCCCACCTTCTGTTAGCATTGCTCCCATTATTTCTCTCAAGCCCCAAACACACGTCTCTTCCTTTTATAGCTCCCTTCCATCCAGAAAAAAATCTGTGTTCTCATCTGGGTGTCCAAGGCTTTCATGGCTAGATTGGAGCGTGATTACTCAAGCCAAAAGGCCCCTTGAGGTTCTTGCAGGCCCTTGACTGACCACTGTTATCGCCACCTTCTAAGCCTTTGCCTGAATAGTTTGCCCCTTACTGCATCCTGCCGTAAGTCTCCATGCAAGTAAAGTTGTCTTTCCAGTAAAATCTTCTCTGATCTTCCTGCCTCCCATGCCCCACCTCCCAGGTCTTGACTGCCTCTTGGCCAAAACAATGCCAATGTAAGCCTTCTCTATGTCTGGCACACAGTAGATGCTCAAAAAACATAACCAAGTTAGCAAATAAATTTCATTTATCACACTATCAAAATTGGAGTCTGTCTTCCCTATTAGGTTCTGATCTTTCTTTAAGGGCAGTGGGTAACAAGGTATATACAGTTTAAAAAAAAAAAAAAAAAAAAAAAAAAAAAAGCAAGGCTTTTGGAGAAAAGTCGGGGTTTAAAACTCTGCTCTACCATTCACTAGCTGTAGAATCGTGGGCAGGTTTGTTTCCTCAGCTGTGAAATAGGGGTGACAGCTCCTGGAAGGGTTGTGAGGATTAGACATGGTGTGTGTGATATCAGACACATAGTAGGTACCAGATATTCTCTTTCCTGGACTCCAACTCACTTACAATTTACCAGATACTCTGCAAAATTCATGAGTAACACTCAACTAGAAAACTTGTTTTGGACTGTGTGAATCCAAATGGCTGTATTTCACGGAAGTTAAATGTTAGATTTGACAGCCCTCCTTTTTCCCACCTAGTCATCAGGGGCATACTAAACCATTCCGTTATCTGATCTTCCAAACAGTCCTTTGAATTATCATCTCCATTTTGTTGCCAAGAAAAGTGGAGCAAAGAGAAGGTAATGGATTTCCCTTCAGAAAGAGCTGGGGCTTTTCAGAATCCTCTTGACTGACTTTCAGCTCTGGGCTCTTTCCTTAATGCCACGCTGCCCTCATGTTCAGGCTTGTGAATGCATGCTTTTAAATGCAACCATTTGTTTATTTTATGATTAAAGCAACAGTCCAATGATGACGGTTTTCAGGGTCTAAGTTAATTATTTTAATTAAAATATTTCTTTTTAAAGGAGAGTTTTTTTCAGCCCCATAATTTGGACTCAACAGTAGCTGACTACCACAACCTCCTGGAAGCTTGATTCCTTTACATCTGCAACTAAGAAGAATAGTACCTGCCTTATGGGGATATGAGCATTAAATGACTGAACACATGAACTCTGAATACACGTGAAACTGGGTCTGGCACATGGTAGTGCTCAGCATCAGCTATTACCATCGTCACCACCAGAACTGTTTTGCTTGGAATTCTATCACATGGAATCTTGTTGTCCTTCACTGTGCTCCATTACGGCAAAGAACATGAAGAAAACACTGTCACTCCTTAGTGCTTCTTGCTGGAGAGCTCTAATAATCAAAAAGGCAATTTAAAGGCAAAAAAGTAACTTTATTGACTGCTAAACTTACCATGAAACATCTATAAGAAATAATTACAAAATAATGCGGGTTTTTTTTTTTACATACTTTTGGTATCATCTTGATATGATGATCCTTTCACAGAAAGGATTATTTACAGTTTATGTAGATATAAAGCTCACTGTTGCAAATACAAATGTAGATGTGCAGAGGCAATATACACCAAACGGGTATACTGACAAGCGATAGATATGTAAGAAATGCAGAATAAATAACAGCTTTATAGTTTTCTTTTTATTTTTAAAAACAATTTCCAAATACAAAATATGGATTATTCAAAGTGGATTTTTCATATACATATATATAATTCTGCTGCAAACAGTGGATCAAAAAGCAAAAGTGTTCTTAGCATGATTCATCTTTGAAAACCCATAGGACTATTCATAAATCCAATTAGAAAGAGCATGTGCAAAACCACCAACAATGTCAGCAAAACCTTAAAGATCTGATTTTGGTTGAAGTAGAAAGAAAATAAAGTATAAAGCAGTACCTGTTTACAGTAATTAAATATGTTTTTTCTTTATCTTTCTTTCTTAAATATGTCTTTTTTTTTAATGTTTGCAAGAAACTCCAAGGGCTAAGGAAATGCACTGCATTATGATCTGGGCTCCTTAGAGTACAAACCTCACCAGGCTTAAGCATCATCCATAAGAAATGGTGGATTACTTAATGACTTGTAAGTAAAACAGTCATTAAATGATCCTTTCATACTTTAATCCTTTTATGCAGAGACTGAGATACCTCCATACATTCCAATATCTACAACTTTGGTTCTATTAAAGTATTTGATAAAAACAAAATAATTTTGACCACAGAACTCTACGGAACTTTTTTTCCTTTTAAAGTGTCAGGTGAACCTAACGTGATGAGGCAATGTTGCCTACACATCCGCGACCTAGCACGGGAGGGGCAGCACAGGCGGGGCATGTTCCAGCTCACCCTTTGTTGTAATAATACTGACTCCCAGCCATGGGTAACACTGCTTATGTTCCGCTGTACCCTACACCTATTTCGTTACCTGAAAACATAATTTTGTATAAAAATATGATTGTTTCTTTAGAAAATAATATATAGCTTTTTTAATAAAACCTGGCAGATAGAAAAAAATGGTATATCAAAATATGGTAAACAAATGTTGTAAAATACTAAATCATTAAAAATATCTTATAGAAAGACATTGTGCTATGAAGTTCTCTCCTGAAGTGTGAGCAACGTTTTTACTGTACATCAAAAGATTGATAAGTTCACTCCCCTGACTTGGTTTCATTATATATTGTAACAGCAGCACAGCAGGTAACTGTCTTAAAAATGGCCCTTTCTCATACACTACGTCTTCTGTACACTTTTACTTCAAAATTAACAAAAGACACCCCCAGGATGAGTGGTTTTCAACTCTGTTGCATATTAGCTCCATCTGGAGAACTTTAAAGGAAAAGGCAATTCTACCTGGGTCCCGCCACAAGAGAATGATGTACTCTGTCTGGTGGGAGACTCAGTCATTATTTCTTAAAAGCTCCCCTGCCAAATTCTGTTATACAATCAGTGCTGAGAATCATGGCCAAAGGCACATGAGGGAACAGTCATTCTGAACTCTACATGTGTCAACTGATGTCTGCAGGTATCACTCACTCAGTGACACATTCTCAATCTTAAGGAATTCCATCTATAAAAGATAGTCATGGAAGCCAAAATGAAGACATAGTAAGCTTTAAACACATATAAACATACACAATCCCAAGTATTTATATATGTATAATATATACATAGAGTATTTTGGTTAGGCAGAAACTAGCATTGCCGTAATTTGTTCTTGATAATTAAACAAATAAAGCATCACCAAGCACCAACGTTTTCTAAGACATTTTCCACAGTTTTAACAGACACTGGTTTTGTAAACTCCACAAAATGCATTACAACATGAATATAATTCATCTGTTACTTGGATGTGGAACTCAACTGAATCCTGGAGCTTTCTGGAAGATCACAGAAGAGGACATGGCACTGAGCGGGGTGAGGGAGTCACAGACACCACAGCACGCACTTCTGGTTTTCTGCTTATTGCTTAATTCATGTCTTGACTGCACAGGTGCTTCTGTCACATATGTATCTTTGGCTTGCTACAACCTCATGATTTTGACCACTCCATCAGTGTTCACTCTGGGACAGCCTCAGGGAGGAAGCAATGGGTATACAGAGCAACCGTCTCTCTGTTAAAAGAAGAGAGAATCTTCCCTCTTTCCTCTCCCAAACCATGAGCATTTTATGAGGGAATGGTGAAAAATTTACAAGCAAACAAATAAATCTAACATCATTCACGTGATAAAAAAGATGTGATGTTACATGTAACTGAACTAAAAAGCATCAGATGAGCAAACACACCACACTCCAATATTCTGAAGGCTTTGCAATCAGTAAAGCGCATTTCCTTCTGAAGGATCGGTGAACTTCCGGGCACTTGTCTTGCTGTACATTTTCTGTAGTTCTTTTACTTCTGTGTAATACTTAAAGTGCAATTGTTCCAAGGCTTTTGTTTCCATCATCACAAATATTATAAAGAAAGAGCTATGTTTAGGGTGAAGAAGATATGGCACAAGTAATATGTAAAGAACCCATGACTTTCGCATCCTCTAGCAAACAGTAAGCTGCCTGTACAGCTGCACACAGACGGACTTTATACAACAAACTCTGGAACTTCATCATGAGTGAGATCTAGAGAAAAGTATTTGCTGGTTCTTTTGACTGGAAAAGCATCTTGGATGTTGATGCACTGCTGGGCCAAGCAACTGTTGCAATAGAGGCCTTCCTCATCCAGTTCATGGCCACATCCAAAGGTGTAACTCTGAGCAGTGTCCTGACACAGACCTGCAATGCGCAGGAAGTCTTTCTGGTAAAGTCGGATGTCATCAAGGCTCAAGCTGTGTCGATCGGTGGAGGTCTTTGGTTTCCGACATATAGTCTGCAAGATAAGGGAAGGTTGAAACAACTTTATAGACTAAAGGGAAAGGTTAGAATATCTGCCTTGTAAAGAGAGATGCCACAGAACCACAAAAGGTTAAGTAATCCTTAAATGTTAGAAAGTGGTTTCCAATCTGTGGTTTCTGGGCCCTATGAGGAAATATATCATCAACACCGCCTCCACCAGTAATAATAGCAGCTCACATTTACCGAGTAATTACTATGTTCCAGACCCTGACGTAAATACTCGGCAGGTATTAACTCATTCAATCTTCCTAACAGTCCTAGGAAGCAGGCACTATCATTCTCCTCATTTTACAGATAAATAATCCAAAACACAGAGGTGCAAATACAACAGAAATCCAACTATCCCTAGCATTTCAGAAATCAAGTAATTATCTTGAAATAAGGTCGTATAGGTAAAGACATGGTTTCTTTGTGGTTTTTTTTTTTCCACTAGGATATGGCAATTCAATGTGGCAACACTTTTAGGCCAAGGTCTGTTTTATTATTTTAATAAGAAATGGGAAAATAAACCAATTATCAAGAAACACAGTTTTGCTCTTTAAAAGCCCAGAATTCTTGGGTTGAATATAAAGGGTCCTTGGTGCTGGGTCGGATACAGGGCGTTCTTGGTGCTGAAGAGGCTGGGAGGCAGGCACCAAGACTAAGTTCCGGAACACGGGGCTGGGGGCGGGGTTCTGCCAAATGCTGTACACAGCGGGGGGCAGACTTTTTTATTAACCCAAGAGGTGGTATTAAAAATAGGTTAAAAATGATTCTGATAATTACATGAATGGAAGGTATGTAATAGGTCATTTAAGGAAACCAGGCATTATATCTTTAAATTTTGCTGCTTACCACCACAAAGGACAACCCTGTTAGAATAAGATACAATTTCTGCTAGAGGCAAAAGTTCCAGAAGCACGTTTTGCTAGGAAGTGTCACATCTGAGTGACTCCTTGTGCCGATGCAGTCTTCCCAGGCTCCAATGGGATTTCACACATAGAATCATCTGGTCATCCCCACAGACTCTCAAGGAAGGCACACAATGTTCTCCCCACAGTGTGGGTGTGGAATCTGACTATCAGCTGTGTCCCAGAAACATCTCTTAAGAGTAGATTACTCATTGGAGTTTTCAGAAAAATATTTCATAAACATCATTTTCACATTATGGTTACTTCAATGGAAGTAAGAGAAAGAAAAGACAAATGAGAAAAAAAGGGAGGAAAGAGGAGGAGAAAAGTAGGGGACAAGGACAGCCAGAATGCAAATGAGAAAAGAGAAACATACACAGAAGGTAAAAAAACAAGACACAAAGAGAGCCCAAGAAAGAAAGGCAGGAGGAGGGAGGACGTGCTCAGGAAGTAGGGCCATTAGTCACACATTACATCCAAATGCTGAAACCATTTCAGGGTATTTTATCTATATCGCTGGACATTTAATAGTTTAACCAATGATTACAGGTTGTCAAATGCTCTAGGCTCAGCATACTTTGAAAATTCAATCTGAATGGAATCACCAGAGTGTGGAAACATGTCTGCCAGAACACCCTGACAAAAAATATTATTCTCCCAGGTTGAGGACAAGTAACACACACACAGACACGTGCACGTGCACACGTGGTTCGACGGAAGCCCGAGGACCAGAGGCTTCCCAACCATATAAAGTGTGAAGCAAAGTATATAATTACCTAAGTAAAAATCAACTCAAAGATAAGCAGAACTAGCAAATAAGATGGAAATAAATTCAGAATAAAGCTAGAATGTATGTATCTAGGAAGGATCATTTCCTTAGGGTTTTTAATTTTTGCTCACCTGTATAAAGTAAGTATAAGTTACTACCTAAAATTTTCTATAACTTCATTTTCCTAATTGATATTTTTCAATTCCTTTAATACCTGTGGAAGAGAATCAGTACTCTGGCCACGAAGCTTAACAACCGTTTCTGAAGAGCTCGAGGTGGAAGACCCAATTTCTTTCACAATCAACCCTGAAATAAAACATAGAGATAGAAACAATAAATACTTCAAATTATTCAAGCCTCTTGCCATATATTCTGACATATTGCCATCAGGAATGAAAAATCAAATATTAACCATTACCAAAAAGTTTCACTGTGACTCTTTGGTGGCAGACAACCAGGACAGCCCACACGCTCTCTCATCTTACAGTAAATAGAGATTAATAAGTCAATGTAGAGTTAGATAGAGTGTAGGAAGATGTTTAGAGTCTGACTTTTCTAAAACTTCTAATTAAGCTATTTATAATGACGTTACAGACAAGAAGCAAAGACTATTGGTGTAAAGCCGCCTCTTTACTGCATCTCATAAAGCTTCCCCTCCTCCCCTTTCTATACAGCAGCAACATTAAACTTAACCCTTACTGAACGCACACCTTCTAGATTTGGTTCGGCTTGGATGTATACTGGTGAATTGTAGGGGGTCTGGCCTCTGAAGTCAGACAGATCTGGCTGGATCCTGGCCCAGACAACTAATTAGCCATGTATCCTGGCCAGTTACTTAGCCTCCCAGTGTCTCAATCTCCTTCTCCTATAAAATCGGGCCAATAACAGCACCTGCCCACTAGTTTTAATGACAATTACACAGTGAATGCATAAAAGAATAAGGTACAGAGACTATACATGGATACACTCAGTTCACGGCAGCTCTTTTTGGGTGATGGGATACTTGGCACATACCTCCTGCAGCAGATCCCCCCGGTAGGAGACAAACTGGGAGGCCATAGTGAAAATTCAGTACCGAGTCTTTAAGAACAACAGAGCCCCTAACCTAACCACCTGAGCACTCAGTGGAAACCCACAAAAATTTCAGAAGCAGAAATCCAGGGCTGACATTTCCCTACGTGACCGGCATATGAGTGAAGCATTGAGTAGAAACATGTCTCAGAAGTTAAAATTACCAATAAGAACTAGAGGTATAAGTGAACGCCGCTGAAATTTTTCTTGCCAATGAATGAAGCAAGTGTACTACAGGTCAAACCCTAGATCCATAAAGCCAAATGGCTTCTTAAAAAAACAAAAACAAAAACAAAAAACCTTAAGTAATGTGATTCTTATTCAACTACTGCTAGTAGTCTACAGAATGACTTGTGTTCTATCCCTTAACTCTTTAGAAACATCTCATAATGACTCAGGGTCTAGCATATGCCATAAATATATTAAGCATTCAATAATTAGTTCAATTGAAACATGAAATATGAAGACATTCCTGGTTTACAAGTAGACATTTTAAAAACTCAGGGGATACTCATGTTTTAGGGTTTAGTACAAATTGCTTTAGGAGAGGATCTAGAATGATCTTTATCTTCTAAAGAGCATTAAACCTTTAAACAAATCATCATAGAGACATGTGGACTTGTGCACTGGTTGGCAACTGGCATGGCTCCTTTTGAATTTCCTGGTAAATGTGCCCGTGGCTATCATGCCTGTAAAGAGTCTTCTCCAAATCCAGATCTACCACTGAAAAAGTAAGTACCAAGCTGGTGCTCAAAACACTTAACCAACTCCTATCACACTCTATAAGAATGAAAGACAGAGTGGTATACTTCATCACTACTCAATCTTAGCTGAGTGTTCTTTTTTTTTTTTGGAAAGATATGGAATGCTTCACAAATTTGCATGTCATCCTTGCAGAGGGGCCACGCTAATCTTCTCTGTATCACTGCAACTTTAGTGTATGTGCTGCCAGGGCGAGTACTTAGCTGAATGTTTTATAAGCAATGTTTAAATGCTCAGATTATAGAGAATTTAGAAAACTAAGATGACATAAGAAAGAAAATAAAATCATCTATATCTATAAACCTAACACCCAAAGAAAAGGCTATTAACAGTTTTATGTTTTTTAAATACACAGATAAATATGCTTGTTTTTAATTAGATCACATTTTATATAATTTTTACTGTTTACCATAACTATCCTTCTTATGTTATTTTGTTTGAAAAATCTCAAATTTAATGGTTATATACCATATGAATAATGAATATGGTATAATTTAACCACTTGTTTTTTTTTTTTTTTTTTGGACAGAGTCTCACTCTGTTGCCCAGGATGGAGTACAGTGACGTGGTCTTGGCTCACTGCAACCTCTGCCTCCTGGGTTCAAGTGATTCTCCTGCCCCAGTCACCCTTGCAGCTGGGATTACAGGCCTGCGGCTGATTTTTTTTTATTTTTTTTGTATCTTAATAGAGATGGGGTTTCAACATGTTGGCCAGGCTGGTCTCCAATTCCTGACCTCAGGTGATCTACCCACCTCAGCCTCCCAAAGGCTGGGATTACAGGCGTTGAGCCACCGCACCTGGCCTTACCACTCATTCTTTCATTATTTTCATAACATTTCAATAAACATTTTTTATATATAAATTTTCTTAAACAGCCAGACTTTTTACTTACATTTTATCTCTATTTAAAATTAACAGTCTTATAAAAATTAAATGCAGAAATATATAAATGCAAAGTCCAGGTCAGCTTCCCTCATACCTCCCTTCCCAGAGGCACTGTGGTATACACTGTTTTTAGACCATTTCCTTTCCACAAACATACATACATAGAGCTATATACATGGACCTATAATGTGCATATAATTGTGAATTTAGATTTAATTTAAATTAAAGTGTAATTGTAAAGAGAAAATTCAATATCATAAAGTAAATGGGCAAAAAGGGGCAAAGTTTGGTATATGAACTCTAAGCATGTTTAGAGTAAGCAGCCTAATGAGTCAGTGCTGGTCAGAGAGATGATTCTCTGCAGCCACAGGCAGGTCTGGGAAGCCAGGGTTCTGTCGGGTTAGCAAACAGAATCCTGAAATAAAAGATGTCTCCTGCTCTTGAAGACTAAGTGCCAGGATGGTAGTGACTGTGTATTGGTCTGGTTCCTCTCTGATTTCCAATGCCTGGCACCTGGAGGAAGAGACTCAATGAACATCAGGAGGTATGGATCTGCCAGAGCAGAGACAGGCTACCCCAGGCTGGCCCTTCATTCAATGAAAGCTGGAAGGGGCCATTTCAACAGCGCTCATTCCTGAGGCATATTTCTCTAAAGAACAGACTGATTCATGATGTGTGACAAAAGCAGTTAGATGTGACTGATGTCTATAAACAAAACTCATACTGCTGCCATTTTTTAAAGATAGTATCTTACATGTGACAGAAATTATATACTGTGTATTATATAACTATAATAGGATTAGAGTGAATGCATGTTTTCTAGAAGAATTCATACAAATATGGAATTTAAGAGTGTCTTTTTAGGTCAACCCGTTTTGACATTTGTCCTCCCAGACTCCTCTACCAGTATAACACAGTGGGGAAACAACAACAAACAAAGACCTGGAGGCCTGCTTCTGTTTCTAGCCATGCAGGATTTGTCCTCTTTGAACTATAGGTTAACTCATCTGTAAAAAGGAGGCCAGACTGAAGGGGTCTACAAGGCCTTCCAGATACATTACATGATTCTCGACACAGCATAACATAAAGAGAACCCTATTGCACAACTACCTTTTGTCCAAAGCATGGAGCAGAAAATGCTAATTCTCAATCCTGGGTGTTTCTCCTCTTCCCTTCCTTCCACAGAAGGCACAGGATCCTGCAGTTTACAATACTGACCTGAAAAGCCTCTTAGTGCAGTCCAGTCTCTGATCGAGAGCCCCCAGCCCACCCTTTCTATTTTCTGAGGCACGTGTTTTTCAGTCCTGGATAACCCGCTGCCAAGGAAGAATAACTTCCTGTAAGAGCTCACCCGAGTGTCCGTTCAGCTTCCGTGACATGAGCATGTCCTCCGTGATGTAGATGCACATGTCTGGGCTGACTTCCAGAGGCTCTTCATTCATCTGCTCCAGATCCCGGGGGTCATCAACCAACATCTCTATTTCTGACACAGAAGAAGGAAACGACAGTTAATAACAAAAAGGGAAATGACCATCATAATATACGACCATATTTTGAGGGTGGCTATGTAATTATTCATATTTGAAAATAAATTTGCTAATGAGACTCCAATAGGAAACTCCAGAGATCATTTTCAACAGGTGCTACTCTCTCTCTCTTTCTGAGACGAAGTCTCACTCTGTCACCAGGCTGGAGTGCAGTGGTGTGATCTCCACTCACCGCAACCTCCACCTCCTGGATTCAAGCGATTCTCCTGCCTTAGCCTCCCAAGTAGCTGCGATTACAGGCACCTGCCACCATGCCCAGCTAATTTTTGTATTTCTAGCAGAGATGAGGTTTCACCATGTTGGCCAGAATGGTCTTGATCTCTTGACTTAGTGATCCGCCTGCCTCGGCCTCCCAAAGTGCTGGGATTACAAGCGTGAGCCACCGCGCCCAGCCTACTTGCTCTTTCTTATGGGACTGCTGTATCACCTACATATTTTCTAATACTATATTTTGCCAATTATTCTGTATTTTTTTAAGAAAAACTACACTACCTTGCTGCAATGACAAAGGGCAAAACGAAACTGATGGGCCCTTTGCCTGATGCCAAAGCAAGGCTCACTGACACAGGCAGATGAGCAGTTCACAAAGCCCCCATGTCCATAGCTGCCCACTGTCAAGGGCACTCAGTGACTTGAGATCCACACAAATTCTACAGAAACCAAACAGACGGTCTGCACTTTTCTTTAACTGAGTCTATCGTTTCCCTTAAGCCTGAATGCTACAGCACTTATTTGAGAGAGGAAAATAATATAAAAGAGGGCCACAAATGTTAAATTTGGCTGAGATAAGCCATAGGATTCATCTTACCTCCTTAACACGCAGTAAGTTCCTATCAGCCAGGTGCTATATTTCTTTTATCCTCTCTATAGTTCTGGTTACATGGGAGGCGCTTAAGAAAAACATTACTAAGTAACTCAATGGTGTGGACTCCAATTTTTATTTTGTGGGGGGGGTCCAGAAGTTCAAGATGTTTCTGTCACCATCACTGCACTCCACTGTGTCGTCCTAACTACTGTTTTATTTAATGTGGGAATCAGAAATACAGACACAATGGCTGCAGGACTAATCTCCAATCTACTTCATAGAAACAGCTAAGACTTTGAGTCCACAACCATCCAATCTTGTGGCCGCAAAGGATCACAACTAGAGGGATGTTTTGTTCACAGCCAAACACAAGCAATTCAACCAAGTCACTGGGGAAGATGAGACACCACTTCCACCCTATTACTACTGCCTAACGTTGCTCTCCAGACACCAGTTCTGTAGAATCAATGCTTGGAAAAACTGGGAGACTAAACAGAGAGCCAGTGAGGACAGTACTGTTACCATCGTCCTGCGAGTCCTCTTCCAGCCGGTCTTTGCCGCCACTCTCCACCCCTGAGGTGTGGGAGCTGCCATGACTGGTCATTGAGCTGCAGGTTTTCAGCTTGCGGTGGACGGCACTGCTGGAGTAGCTGTCTTCTGGCCCCGTGTCCCGGGGCTTGGTGTCTGCCTCAATGCCCGAGGTGTGGGAACTGCTGTGGCTGGTGGTGGAATGACGGGACAGGCGCTTGTGCTTCATGCTGCCCGCACTGCTCCCGCTGGCCCGCGATCGTTTTTCCAGCTGGTCCATGTCGAGGTCCAGGTTGTCACTGATGTAAGATTCCCGGTACTGCTTCTTCTCTGTGTGGTGGGGAACACAGCTCATTATTACATCAACCAAGACAGAAGGAACGGCTGGTGAGCTTAAGTGACTCATCAGGCCAAGAACAAGGATAACTTGAAGTTCAGAATCTAGTGACTGGAAAGTAGTAATAATTGAGATAGGAATTTGACTTCAGAAGACTGAAAAATGACTAAAAACCAGTGCAACAGATTTGAGGGGGATATTTAAATTACTCAGTTTTTTTAAAGATTCAAGCAGTATAAGAAGAGCGGTATTTAAAGTGTAGTTACAGACCACTTCTTGTCTGCAAATTTATTGGTCCACAGTGAAATAAGTTCAGTGAGTGATATGAACATTTAGAAACTTCCAGAGCTTTGTGACATTGCCATGACAGCCACCAATGTGATTTTGTATTTTGCGAAAGTATCCACAGCATATTAAATATTTTAAAAATCTGGCCCTTTTCTGCAGATAATTTCAGAAGCACTGCTCTAGAAGACTACTTAATAAATATAATTATGCTAATCGCCATTCATTTTATTTGTTCATCTGTTCAATTTGTTCCATTGTTAGCTTAGCTCTAGCTGTTGAATACAATTTAATATAAAACTATTCTTCTGAGAATTTCTTGTGAAGATTCTAAAATTTGGATTTTCATTAATATAAGATTGATTTTCTCCACTTAGGCTGAATTAGTGAGGTTTTATCATCTACTTAGAAAATACCAGTAATTACTACTGGTTTGATGATTTCCAACTCTGACTGGTAAAGCTGTTCTTTGATTTAACATGTCAGTGCTGTTCTTGAACGCAATCAAAAACACAACACTGTAAAGTCTCTTTTATTACATACTAAACTAACCATTCCATTAAGGCACAAAGTTACAACCCAGCTGCCAGTTACAACTTGACTGACACAAAAATATTATTTTTGTCTTTTAGGTCAGAAATGTAAAACAAGGAAGAAGTTTAGATTCCTTGCCTTTTTAATACTGGTGAGAAATAATACAATACAACAATGTCAAAAAGGGAGAGTGTATTTGGGGACTGTTAAGTTGATCTAATTTTAGAAACTGCTAACTAGTAGACTAATTGGGTTCTCAGGGGCCTGTTAATGGATTTTAATTGTCTTGTTTCTTGGTTAAGTGAAAATACTTGCATGCCTGATATCTGAATCCAGCTCAGAAGTATAATCATCACAGGGTCCCCAGAGGGAAAATGGGCAGCAGGAGAAAGAAAAGATGCGCCTTCTAGGATGCAAAATGCAAAAAAATGCTTGGAGAAGGCTATGTGCACATTTCCAGGTTCCAGCCCATTCACATCTTTCTAAGGAACTGGCTGAAACACAAAGATGAGTATGTACTGCTACACAGAAAGCAGGCTGAAACCAGACACCAGAGCTCCACGCACACATCATCACAATAAAAATGCATCCAGGGACAACCTGTCATTCAGGGAGCAGACTGGGGCCTAACAATCCCCATCTTCTGAATCAGCAGGTGTGAGATGAAGGTGGACAGCCAAAGCAGTTTGCAAAAATTACCGTAGTTCCTATTCACTGTGGTTTCACAGTAATAGCCATGTGGCCCTTGGATGAGTGGTAAGTGAAGAGAAAAAAGTAAAAGTCTGTAAGTTGTTGGAGTTCCATTGTTCTAAAATAATTAGGAACTGTGGACCTAATCATTTAAAAGCTATTCTGCATCTTTACATATAGCCTTTTTACTCCCAACTTCCTGATAGAGGTCAGTATAGTTCCTCTATACTCACTAGTATACTAATGAGTATACAAGTACTTGCCAGCCTGTTTTCTAACTATTCCCGACTACATGTTAGCATGGCCTGGGTGTTCCACATGGCTGGCTTTTCTGTTCCCTCCCTAGTGCTGTATCACACCCTTTCCAGATATTTAAGAAGCTTCACACCGTTCAATTACAAACTGAGAGAAACATTAAATAATTCTGAAATGTTTTCTAAGAAATGTAAAATGCAGCCTCTCATCCACCTAATAATCACTGGTGTCAACAGTACAGATCATCAATATGCCTGTGCTCTTTTTACTCCCTTTGTTGTAAAAGATCAGAGACAATGAGGTTTTTCATACACTATTTTAGAAAATAATGCAGTAAATGTGACTACTTATTCCTAAGAATAAGCTCCAGCTCTTGAATAAAGTTAGGCTTAAACATTTTTTTTAATGATGCGAGGCATGTTTTTCTTTCTCTTCTAAACCCTATAGAAAAATCCTTGTGATCATTTTCTACTAAAATGCTAACATAGTGTTTCAGACAAAGTGACTCTAAATAAAATTAAGAAAAACACAGACTCTTTTTATGCTGTTTTTTGCTAAACTAATGCCCAAAAAAGGGCTTTTCATGTTAAAATGACAGAGCCCTTAAATGGGGGTGAGATCATTGGATTCAGGCCAAAGTTGACCCAGAGAAACTTAATTTCAGGCCGTTTTCAGACCTGAAAAACCTCTAAGTAGAAGAAACTAAGTATGTGTCATTCCTTCATTCCTCTACTGCTATGGTTTGAATATCTGTTCCCTCCTAAACTCAGGTTGAAATCTAATTGCTATCATAAATCATATGCATCATATATCATAGTAGTAAGATGTGGGAGTTTAAAGAGATGATTCGATCATGAGAGATCTGCTTTTGTGAATGGATTAGTGCCATTATTGCAGCAGTGGGTTCATTATGAGAGGGGGAGCTCGGCCCCCTTTTACTCTTTCTCACCCTCTCTTTGCCCTTCCACCTTCCACCATGGGATGAAGTAACAAGAAGGCCCTCGGTAGATGCTGGCTCCTCAATCCTGGACTTCCCAGCCTCTAGAACTGTGAGGAAATAAACTTCTGTTCTTTAGAACTTACCTAGTCTGTGGTCTTTTGTTACAGCAGCACAAAACAAACTAAGACACCTACTCACTTCAGCCTCCAAATATACTTGGTACTATGGTTGGCAATGAACCAAGCTCTCTTTGAAAACTCAAAATTCTTTGTAATTTTTACCTTAGAACCTATAGATGAAGGCCATTAATTCTTTTAGGCTCTAAAGGGATCTCTTAAGGTCATCTGAACAAAAAATATACTAAAATGTTGCAGGCAGAAGAAAGCTAATAGAACAAATCACCTTCTCAAGGTGTCATGTTAGACGTTGAGGAATGAAGCTGACTTGGCAAATTATGGGCTCTGCACCTAATTATGTCACATATTCTCACAGGTTCTCCTGCTTCTTCATCCTCTTCCTGCCCCCATCTGAATTCCTTTTAATATTCATGTCAGCATAGGAGAGAGATATTTGTTACACTGATGAGTTATGGTGGGGAAGAACTGGCAGTCTAGCAGCAGCGGAAGCCAATACACCTGACAGTTATACCAATTCTCTCTGAAGACACATGCAGTTTGTGGCAGACAGTGAGGAATGATTCATGTTCTAATCGCTACTAAATTACAAGAGAATTGCCAAACTGGGTCTCATTTGGATTGAGAGAGAATTTTTGAGAGAAATCAATCAGAAGCACAAACTTCTATAAGGTCTTTTGTTTATTTAAGAAAGGATGGGTATTTGTCTTGTTTCTACAGGAAAGATGAGGTCTGAAGTGTCAAAACTTGTCTCAGACATGAACCTAAAATATGAATCTTCACCCTGATATTCACACAAAAACACCAAATCCAATCTAATCAAATTACTGTTAGATATTACTACAATTTATAAAACTAATTTTTGCAAAAAAAATCTTTGAAAGCATAAACAAAACCCCAAAGCATTTAAAAAAAAATAACAAAAGAACAAAAAACAAAAATCCAAATACGTAATGCAGCAGTTTTGAGGATTAGGGTTGGGGTGTGTTAAATGGAGGAAATCCAGGGTGCCACAACTCAAGATAAAAGGCTATCAGATTAATGTTGTAAAGTTGAAGCCAGATGTTACAGACCCTTAACACTGCCTTCTTTCCCACCCTGACTTGCTTCCCTTTTCAGGGCCCAGTACTCTGAGGCCCCAGATAGACTGCTTTATTTCATCTGCATCTCAGCAAAGCCCCCAAAGGACTAGCTGACTTCCCTCTCCTTTGTTTGGCATTCTTGCTAGACCAGACCTGGGGGCCTCCCAGTTGTCAATCGGAGGCTGGAGACACATCTGTGACCCACCTTTATTATCACTCTAACCCTAAGAAAGAATCACATTGGAAAGAATTCCAGACCACCTGTGGATAATAGCACTAAGGTGGGTCAGTGTACATACAAAGCTCTGAAATGCATATAAAATCTGAGTTGCAGATAAACCCTTGCCCTGTGCCTTTATAGGTGGCTTTTTGTAAGGATTTTCAAGTCAGGCATGGGAAAACCTTAGAGACTGTACTTGAGAGATAGCTAAATGGAGTCACCTCTGATATTCTGAATAGGTGCTACGGTAGATGGGGCTCAAGCCTAACCCTTTGCCTTCTGGAAATACTGAGATGTAAATAGTAATGCTGCTCTCAATCTGGAGAGTCCCAGTCCCAAAATCCAATTCTGTAGGAGTTCAAAACCCCCATTCAGAGTAAGAGGCCATGGGTGGCAAAGGTACAATGTGCTTCCACGCCCCAGACCCTGGGATACCTTCGTTTTCCTCCAGCTTCCGGATATGGCGCAGGACAGGCTGCAGATTCATATAGAGGCGGTGGCTGTTGCTCAGAAGTTGCAGGAGGTGTCTGGAGCGCATGGGGCACCCTGTGTAGTATATGAGCTTCCGGGCTGAAGGCAAGCCATCTGGCAAAATCTCAAATTTCTTACCCTTTGGAAGGAAACCATGAATCAAATTCAGGAAAAAAAAATCTCTGATTTGCCAAAATCCTCTTTGTTTTCTATTTAGTAAGGAAGATTATAGATTCTGAAATGTATAAAGTTTCATTTAAAATTCCTTGCGGGATAAATTATTGTTTTCCCTTTCAAAAATGTCATAGGACAGGGGATGACCAGAAATTCAGGAAAGCATCTAGCCACAAGGGTCTGTCAGTAAACATTCACTATCCCAAACAGCTGAGGAGTATCTTTGGTTTCTCTGGCTGGTCAGGTTATTTGTATAATGGAGAAGAGAAGGGTCCATCATAAAAGAACCATCAAATGTAATCCCAACACCCTAACGCAGCAACAAGGCGACCAATTCTAAAAAAGACTAATGTATTCAAATATTTATTGAATACTTAATATGGACCAAACACCTTCCTAGGCACTGACAAAAAAAAACCAAATAGGCAGCGAATATGACAGACAAGGTTCCCACCCTCACGGAGCTATATATCCCAGCAGGAGAAAGAAACACACAAAATAATTACAGTTTATGATAAATTCTTGGAAATAAATAAATAAGGAGTTATATAGTGAACAATACAGGATACCTATTTAGGGTTTAGAAGAAATGGAAAACTTCCCTAGCTAGACATAGAGAGAGCTGGTAGTTGGAGGGATGAGATGGGAAAGAACAAGAACAGCTATCAGTAGAGATACAAGGAATCTCCTTCTTCAAGTTCGTGATCACTAAGATAAAGTCCTAAGTTGAGGGCAAGGCTTTGACAAAGTTTCTTACAGTTATGGGATATTATGAACTCTTTCAACTTTCCTAATAATGAATGGGGCAGCTGAAATACAAAAAAGAGTAATTCAGATATAATGATTCTCAGCCAGAGGGAGGACGTAAAGCAAGGACGGAGCATATTCTAACTACACACTGAAAGTCCGTACGGAGCAGTATGGGCTTGTGTAGCCCAGATAGGGATAAGGTGGAGGTGTTTTGTTTTTTTTAAATCTCTGAGCTTTCCCTCATTTTAAAGGAACTACCAGTGGATCCCAATACTGAAATAGTAACAACTGACATTTTTTGAGCACTAAGCATGTATCCACTCATTTGATCCTCACAGCAAGTCAAGGGAGAGAGTTAATTATCCACATTTTAGAATGAAACCAAGGCACAGAGTTTATGTAACTTGCTCAAGGTCATACAGCTAGACAGGGCTGAGTTGGCTGCACGAAGCATCATCTGAGAAACTTGTCAAAATAGATTCCTCATCTCTACTCCAGACCCACTGAGTCAAAAATCTCCCAGAGGAGGAGGATGAGGCAAAAAAGGTCCTCAGATAAGGGCAATACACAAATAGATTCAGTAAGCACCAAGTCCAGGACCCTAAAAAACCCTCAATTTCATAAATGTACTTTATTATAACTTAATTTGGGGCATGAAAGGGGCAAGTGGGTCTTAATTTGCTCATTTTCAAACAGCTCAGATCCTTTCACAATTAGCTTGAAACAAAAAAGAGCCAGTTGGAGACAGGTTAGGCCCCGTGTAAGTATAAGTAAAGTGAAATCAGACTGAATTGTGCCCAAGTAATTAAAGTAATGTGAAGTCAGAAACAAATCTTTTGACTTACAGGGCAGTGTGGAGTCAATGCCCACATTCTATTTGCAATATAGCCCTTTATTTACATAGGCCATCTTTCTTACAGGAGAGAAGCCCATGTCTACAAACCCTTATCTTCCTTTCTTCACGTATTTTCTCCAGTAATTTCTGAACATAGCAGAACTATGAATTTTTTTTTTTTTAAACGGAGTTGTGCTCTTGTTGCCCAGGCTGGAGTGCAATGGTGTGGTCTCGGCTCACTGCAACCTTCGCCTCTCAGGTTTGAGCGATTCTCATGCCTCAGTCTCCCCGGTAGCTGGGATTACAAGTGCCCACCACCATGCCCAAATAATTTTTGTATTTTTAGTAGAGACAGGATTTCACCATGTTGGCCAAGCTGGTCTCGAACTCCTGACCTCTGGTGATCTGCTCACCTTGACCTCCCAAAGTGCTGGGATTACAGGATTGAGCCACTGTGCCCAGCCAGAACTATGACTTTTTATGACCAAATATACACATTACTAATTCTTTGAAACCTACCAAAAAAATAGATATAACTGGCAAAGAGAGAAATATTTGGGAAAAATCAAGGCGTTGCTCTAACAAAAGAAAATGTATCATTCTCAATATTGTAAGAGTAGCTTTCCCGTTAAGAATTGTAGACCTCTCTTTAAAATAATGAGTTTTAAATAGTCAAATATTAATATAAATGTCTTTTTATATAATTCTTTATTCTTTGCTCAAAAGAGGTAACTTTCAAAAGAACTGGCTAACCTCTACATGAAATATCTTCTGCAACTAGAATAACTTAGGGACATGTGCTAGGGACCAAACACAAATTAAAATTACTAACTTCTTTTGCTATAAGATTATTCACTATAAGATTCTTTGATTTTAATTTCACCACTGATATGCGTGACAATGGAATATATAGCACATGCATTAAAATACAAGAAAGCCAATTATCTTCAGAGTCAACTTCTTAAAAATTGCAGCTTTTGTGCCTAAGACAATATTGTTTAAAAACAAAAAAATTAAAAACCACAAAAATAAGCAATTAATGGGACTTTTCTTTTAAGCCAGTTATTTTAAACTTACCACAAACACCAATTTTCCAACATTTGTCCAGGGGAAATCATAAAGTAATTGTTTCTCTTCGTCTAAATTCTGTGAAAAGAATATGCATATGGAGTTAATGGGAAAAATGATACTATAAACTGGCTCTAACTTCTTTCCCTGAAAACCAAAACACAGTAATTAAAATCTGAAAAAAGCCCCCATATCTCTTTGGAGAAACACAGACAGTAATTAAGAGATATCGTGATAACGATTCTGTGGCTTTTGGTTCCTGTGTGACTGTATTAACTAACCCTTTTAAGGCAATCTTTTCCCTTCTGGCGTATGCCTAAATTTAAATAAAAAGTCCAAAGGACCCAGGCATTCAAGAGATGCAGTAAGGTGCTCAGACTTTCATAATTGGATATTTTGCCTACGCCAAAGATAAGACATGCTTTTACTTTCCTGTGTCTTGCAGAGAGAGGTATCTGTCTCCCTTTTTGATGGCTCCAGGATAACACTGTCCCACCTGCTAAAGTTACTACTTATTTAAGGGGTAAGTTTTATCAGAAAAGTGTAACGGAAATTAAAATGTCTGGTCAGGTACAATATCAAAATGTTGCTTTTCTTTCCACTTACAAATGCTCCAAAGGATAAAAGAATATCTAAAATCAAAGACAAACAGAAATGTTTGGATATTAATGATCTGTTAGTGATGAACCTGGGCTAATCTTTGGCTTACTGTTTTCTGTTATAGAGGACTTATTACTGTCAACAATCGGGCTGAGTCACTTCATCGATCCTACATCATCCACATCTGTGCTAGACAAATAGGAAATGACCAGCCAGTGGCCCAAAATGAACTACTGAAGCTATGGCAGGACCACAGAGGCATGCTGTAAACATAAGACATGGCCGACAGCATTTGACACTTAATTCTCATTTACTAACCTGAAAAATCTGTATTCCCCGCATGGTCAATCCAAGAGTCAGTGAAGCTTCAATTTCCCTTTTATCCTGTAGGAATAGAATTTTATAGAAAATTAAATGTTTCTATATATTTTTTCTACAGTGGACAATTTAGCACCAAAGAAACATTTCAGGATTGAAATTCAGGACTGAAAAGTTTTGAACTTAAAATAACTTTGCTCAAGGCTTTCCACATACCTAGTTTCCTACAAGAATTAAGAAAACCATGGGCACATATTAAATCAAGAATGGTATATTCTACTTTTTAAATTTCTGAGATTTCAAAGGTTTAGTGTTTTTACTATATTACATACACTTTTGTATCTGACAATATTCTAAACACTTGTTATTGAAAACTCCAGTAAACAAGGCTATTTTTGCTGCTTTTGCATCATTTGATTTTTTTAATCTTCTATCTCATTACTCTGTTCTCAGATGTTAGAATCTTTAATGTAATAGTTATACTCTGAGATGCATAAGACTTTGTGTGTTTAAAACTGGGCACATCTTCCAGCTCTTAAGTCAAAATTAGGGGCAAGTGACCAAATATTTAAGGCTCTCTCATGAGGATAATAAAGTTGTACAAGCTTTGTATTCAGTTAGTTTGGAAATACTTATTTTTAAGAAGTTCAATGATCACTCGCCAATATGATACACGGTCTACCAGCTAAACCATAAACTGTAGAAAATAAACTACAACAAGCGTAAGGGAAAAAGAAACTCCACAATTAAAAATGTACTTTAAAATTCAGCCACATCCTTTAAGTGTTCAACTGTAATAAGTATATATAGTGTATAAAGTTCAAAATAGAAGAGAAATGAAATTACTAAGTAAATATTCTCATTATGAGATTTCTCAACAAACACAATGAGTATGCAGATCTTTTTAAGCTTAGTGCCAGTTTCCCCAGGAACATGGGATGAAATATTTTTACAAAATGTATCCTCATTGGCATTATAACTATAAGACACAGCCCATTTCTACTATTTAGGCTGTTTCTTTCCAACTAGTATATTTTTACATCAACAAAGACACATATAGTATAAGCTTTAAGAGGAGAAACTAATCCATCATTATATGAGTTTTGGTCAATTTCGCTTTCAAGGCTATACTGACTGCTTTCTGGAATAAGGCTATGCTCGTAAAAATGCTGGTTTTCAAGTATAAGGTATATACTGGTGGAAAAGGGACACAAAATGGTTTTTTTTTTTTCCCCCCAGAATGTTCCCTTGTCCTTTGTCTACCTTATTTCCAGTTTATGAGCAGCCCTTAAATGAAGCAGATTTAACGGCTGCCACTGAATTGCTCTAAAGAATAAAAACTGTGCATCAGCCAATATCTTTTCCCCCACTTCATTCTGTTACCTTTTTATTAAAAATCTTGTTTTCAGCAGATAAGAGTCATTTTCTATGCAATTTAGAAGCTCCATACTTTAAGTAAACTTGAAAATTAAGTTTTATACAGAAGATAAATTGGGGATATCTACTTCAATAAAAGATTCTTATTTCTTAATAGGATTCTTTAAAATAGCAAGCTTCCCCAGCAAATAAGGCAAAAAGCAATTAATGGTTATTGAGCACTCACTAATGTGCCAGGTATTCCACCTCATTATTTCAGATTCATTATCTCACCGAAGCCTCCCAACCTTGTGAAGCATATTGTATCATCCCCACTTAATAGACAGCTCAGGATTATAGTTGCCTAGGATGCCAGCTATAGCAAGTAGTGACATAGGGTTTCTAATTGACATCTGATTCCAAAGCCACACTCTTACTCTTTCCAATTCATACTTCTAATACATTTTAAAATATAAACTAATTATCAAAACTGTCATTTATTTGCATCTTCTCGTGTCAACTGAGGTGTCACAAATGAAATCTCTTAAGGCTAAAAACAAAATGACAACTCAGTCCTTTAGGAATTTAGCCAAAGAGATCTTATGGAACTCAATTATGGCTTTCAAGGATGATGGGGCATTAATAATGCATCTCTTAGGCACAGAAGAGAGATAGAAAAAACATCAGTTGGTCCCTTAAGTTTTCTGAACCAGCTAAGAAGATTACTGAGCAATACATCCAAACTAAAGTCCAGTTTCCAATAGTCTAGCTATGCTAATCCTACCACAAAAGGCATAGTAGAGATAACAAGCATAACACTAACAATGGCAATGGTAACAACGGCAAACTTAACATCATGCTTAACATGTGCTGGGCACTGTTTTAAGTAGTTTTTCATCCAACAATTCATTTAGTATCCAGCAATCCTAAAAGGCAAGTATGTTGCTGTCCCCTTTAACTATGGGGAAACTGAAGTACGCAGAGGTTAAGTAAGTAACTTGCCCGAGGTCACACAGTAAGAAGTCAAACTGAGATTCAATCCCAGGCAGTTAGGCTCAACTGACAGTGCTCTTAACCACTTCATCCATTTGGTTTGAGAATATACGTTTGAATACTTAAATGGGTATTAAGGAGTTCTTGCCAGCAAAGTGGCACTTAGGGAATAGTGAAAGGGGTTAGGAGAGGAGGGGAAGAGAAGACAAGATGATATAGAGTACTGTGAGTGATTCCCTGCAGAGCATGGCCCCAGTTGTCATTTGGGTGTGTGACCTCTGCCCCAGAATGAAAAAACGAGGCTAGAGATACACGGGACACAAAGGAGAGTAACTTCCAAGAGTGAGGAACATGTGTAATACAGTTCCTTAAGCACACAGCCTGTGTTATCAAGAAGGCCTTGACTAAATCTTGGCTTTGCCATTTAGTTTTGTGATCTTAGGTGATTCATTTAATCTCGTTAGGCCTCAGTTTCCCGGTCTGTAAAATAAAGATTAAAGTACCTTTCATGTAAAGTTATGAGGATTAAAAAAATATAAAGTGTGCCCAGTAAACACAGGACTCCATAAACATTACCTGTTGTGGTAATGTTCTTGTAATTGATGGAAACGATGCAGGTATAGCTTCACTTTGAGGAATATTAAAAATTATTTATCAAATAAGTTGCAAATGCTATTCCCCAAAGCAGAAAAGCAGATTTGGGGAGGAGAGAAAGAACAATGCCATAATCACCGAAAAAGTGAGATTAACATTTTATAGCCAATTGTCATCTCACTATTAGAACCATTAAAAAATACTCCATCCTGCTTCCAGGCCAGAGGAAAACCACCACGGCCTCCAAGACTGACCTACAATAACAAAAAGCAGTTCAATGAAACTCTTTTGGAAGTGTGTAAAAAATGAAATAATTTTTAATGGAAATGAAATCCTAAGGTTTTCCTTCTCAATCCTATTGAGATGATGTTTTTTTTTTCTCAGAAGCTGAAGACTTAGTTGCCGTTTCGTACCTTATACAATCTGTAGTAATGAACAGCGACGTCATCCAGTCGGACGGCCTCTTTGATATATTTAAGATGAGCTTCGGAAGCCGTCAGTGCAAACTGATCTTTGTGCATGTTTGGAATGTGCTTCAGGATGTAGTCTTTCCCCCTCTTGGAAACAACCTGTTGGGATACAAGGGGTGTGCAATGCAACATTTGTTGGAGAGATGTAAGCTCTATCCCCACCCCCAAAATGATGAAAGAATGAGAATCTAAAATAGCCATGTAAACTAGTTGGTTTCCATTAGAAAATTCCCACTTTCATTCTGTTTTCACCATCTGTTATGTTGCTGGGCTGAATCAGCTAATACTAGAAGCTATAGAGTCAATTTAATTGTACTGCTGAATACCTAAGAAGAAAAATCACAACAAATAGGAAAAATAAGTTATCTTTGCTTTAAAGTCACCAAGAAAAAAAATTATACAAACTTTCATAATCTTGTACACGTAATTGTTTATACTTGCAAGTTTATACTTGGTACCATGAAATACATCTATAGTAGGCACATCTTCAGGTTCTGGATCCTACCTAACTCTTAAGAAAATTACAGCCACAGAGTGGGAGGTTCTAAATGCTAATCAAAAGAAGGCAGGGGACTGGGAGAAATTCTCTAATTTTGGTTCCTGCATAAGAGGCTGATATGAACACTGTTGGAATATTTATGAGAAAACCGTTTCATTCAAACATTCATTGTGATTCACTGTGAGTTAGATTTTCATCAGACAGTACTCTGGGCTTTCAGATGTCAAATATATAGTATCCAGCAGCTGCGGGCTAAGAGAAAGGTGTTGATTAAAGTCTTAGCTGATTCCATAAGGAATACAATAGATGGAAGGACTTATGCAATGTGAGCAGAAGAATCATGCTCAAAATAATCAAAATTTTAAAATTACAGAATTTTTGGTTTTAAAATGTCTTTATATTGATATTTTGTTTCTTCCTATTGAATATTTTACAAAGAATTAAATATGATGAATTAATAGTCAGTTGTCAAGTTCTGCTAAGAACTCAAGTTACAGATTCTTCTTTCCAGGTTCTTTTCACATGGTAATCAGTTAAATCAGTTATTTGTCGACCTTTTTCTCAGGTCAAAAGCACACTGAAAATAGTATTTGTAAGGGCACTAAAGTAGATGGTTTTGGCGATCCCAAGGGTGGGGGAAACTGGTATCTTAGCACACTGGTTGCCCTGGCATACTAACTGGATTTCAGTAATCAATATTCAGTGAGCACCTGATGACAACCAGAGAATGCAAACATGCTACAGACAGCAATAGTTTGACAGACATTGTGATTTCTCTCCAACAAATAAAGCACTGTAAGTCACACAACAAAAAATTACTGAGTACCTCAATATGAAGAGCTGATGAAATTGAAAAGGTTAAGGTTATGCCTATCTTTCAGAATACACTAAGAAACAGTTTATTGGGAGCAAGAAATAAATCATTTTAAAATAAGATGTAAAACACTATACCCAGGTTCTTCTTGAGCACTGGTCACCCAGATGGTCTGCCCAGAAGGAGCAGAGTGTCGGAGGATAAGTAGGAGTTAGCGAGGTGAAACAGACAGGGGCTTCACCGGCTAAAGGAACTGCAAGAAGAAAGACCCGAAGCATGAAACACCACAGTGAGTACGGAGACGTACCAATGGCTGGATGTTGCCACAGCCTAAAGTTCAAGATGCAGGACAACCAGAAAGGAAGCTGGAATGGTTGGCAGGGACTATAATCTGGAGAGTTTCTAGGTTATGCATGGGAGCCTGAGCTTCACTCCACAGGTGACGGAGGAGGCCCTGAAAGTCTAAGTCAGAAGCAAAATCATCTCATCTGCAAGCTGTGGAGCAAAGACCGAAGCAGGGACAAGCTTCTGCAACAGTGCTGCTGAGAACAGGAACCTAGAAACAGTAGGAACTAAGACAGGGAGAGGAGGCAATGGACATTTAGGAAGGCTAATGGCAACAAAAATAGAAGAGAATTGTATTTCTTAAGCTGGGTGATTGGTACTCAAGCACATACATTACAGGATGTTTCAGATGATGGGACAGGACAGGGAGAAGGAATGGTGATAACGCAGAGTTCCGTATGACTCTCATGTACTCAGAGGTAGGAATATGTAGAACTGAGGTGGCAAGAAGATGAATTTGATTTAGGACATCTTGAGTTTGAAGGGCCTATAGGTAAACAGCTACCTTATGGATAAAGGGAAGAGAAACAGATTTGGGACTTGCCTTCACGTAGGTGATCGTTAAAAGCATTAATCTGGATGAGATCTCCCAAGATGCGAGTGGTTAAGTGTCAGGTACAGCAGCAAAATTTAGTGAAAAGAGTCTACTGGATATGTCAATATAAAGCAACTGGTGTCAATATAAAGCAAAAGTAGTATGTATTTAATTTTTTACTTCATTACTATATTGATATAAAACAACCTAACGGGCAGCACCATGAGTGGACTGATGGGGAAAGAAGGCAGATGGAAATGGCTTGAGGAACACTTGTGGGAAGAAAAGAAGCTGAAAAAATCAAATATACACTACCTTTTCAAGACGCTTTACTGAGAAGGCAAGGCAAGAGTAGTAGCTCTTCTTTCTTTCTCGAGGATGGGTGAGTGAGAACCAAACATGTTTTGTATGTCCTCACTGAAGAAGAGTTAGTTTGGGGAGGGGCTAATGATACAGAAGAGAGAGAAAATATAGCATAGACCTGGAGGAAGGATGGGGAGAGAAACAGACAGGGTAGAGTAGACAAAGGGCAGCTGAGACAGTTCCCGTTGGAATAACCCACATTTTCTTGCTGAAAGAAGGGGTTAGTTGCTCTCCCAAGAGTGGAGGACATGAAGGCCGGAGCCAGAAGTTGACATACTTGTTCTCTCAGCAAAGGAAAGTGAGGGATAATCTTACTTTTTAAAGAGTTATGTTTTTCTGCCTTCAAAGGGAGAAAATTCTGCCTCAGTAAGAGTAGGCAAGAAGGTCAAGGACATGTCAATGCCAAAAGGAGGCTAGCAAATTCCAAGCTCCACCGTATTATCAGGATGGATGGCAATCCTCTTCCCCATTCACCACAAAAAGACTGAGTACATGAAGACATGATGTGCACCACGTTTTTAAGTGTTAAATATCTGGGCATCACGAAGAATTTGGCCACAGAACATCTGTGTTCCCATTTCTTAAAGAGTATGAGTAGCAACACTACGAACTAGAAATGCCGAAAGAAAACACTCTTTCAAATTTGAAAACAGTGCTTACCCAAGATGGGAAGTAAGCCTCTGGCTCGAAGTATTTTCCATAGTGCTTATTCCTTTTGAAGTTCCCAAGATCAGCCTGCAGGGCAAAGGCTGCCAGCAGGAAGTAGGCCTCCTCTCGGAGCACACACTGAGAATGAAGAACTTGTTTTCTCAGGTGCCAGTAATAATAGTATCTTGCTGCTCTGTCACTAGGAAAATAAGAGAAAACAGAACTCACATTTTCATGGAACAATCCAATGACATGTAAACAGAACCCAAATCCTGCTCTCCATCTGGTGACAGGAGCCCTTCTGTTCCTGCTCCTCCCTCCCACCTCATTGAAAAGGGAGCGGATGTAGCTAACATCTGATAGCTGCCTCACTGAGGTTGCAGGGGGTCAGAACCCCAAGTCACACTATCCAGACAACAAAAGTAACATTTCCTAAGGCTTACAGCATTTGATTCGTTCAGAGAAGAAAAAGTTCTGAATCATTCTACTCTAAAATGGTAACTATTTCACCGAGCAAGTGCTAGAATAGAAGCTAGATATGTGTTATCTGTACTGATGTTGCTACAATGATGCTGCACGCGTGACATAAATAAGGAAAAATCTGAGGAGCAATCCTGCTTCAGTGTTTTGCTGTTCTTTTTGTTATTTTTTAACTGAACACACTACAAATACTTTAAGGCCCTTTATAAGTATTTGCATATATACTCTTCTGGAAAAAAATTTGCTTAACAAAGGTGTTCTTTTCCTTTTTTTAAGCTTCTCCAAGAAGAAATGAATGCTTTCCTTAAATCTTCTTTTTGAGGTTTTTTTATTAAGTGAAAGTTACGTCATTGGCATTACATTTTTATAGGCACATGTCATGACCATTATAATACTCCCCACAAAAGGAAATACTAACAGGGCACACTCATTACAATTTGTTGAGATCAGAAATAAATACAGTCACCATTAAATACGTTAAGAAATGTTGACTGGGGAAAACATGGTAAAAGCTCCAAAAAATACTTACTAGCAAATAGGATGCTTTTGTGATCAAAGTAAAAACGTGTGTGTACATATTTTAATGAGCTCATTTGCCTCTACATTATTTCAGGTTAAATGTTTACCTGAGATTCATAGCTGATATCATTAGTAGAAAACACATATGGGTTTATTTAAACTAAGACCATGTTTAAGTAGAAAGAGCTTAAAAATAAAGCATTTATGTAATTTTTCCCCCCTTAGGACAGAGTACTTTTCACAGCACTTCTTTTTATAATGCCAACCACAGATGGTCCGGACTGGTTCAAGCCTGGGAAAAAGGGGCAGAAGTATACGGATACATTAAAACTTAGCCCCAGGGGGTTAACTATTTGTTAAATATATATATTCCTTCTTTCCAGGTCATGCCACACTTACCAGGTAAAATAAATAAAAATTGTATGTAAACTGAGAACATAACTAATAAAGTATCTTAGCCTTTTAAAAAAAATCCTTATGGGCTAATTTTTTTACTTTTTAATTTGCATCTGGCATTGATAAAAAATATCAAGAGCTAATTTTACATATAACTCACTAGCTAAATGTATTTTGTTTTCTTTCACATGGAGCTTCTCAAAGTTTAAAAATATATAAGCAAAACAGAGTTCATATTTCTAGTATTTTCTATTGGCCAAGAAATCACCTCTGAAAGTTTCTAGCACTAAATCCTCCTATACAGACTGAGCTTCAGAAATGGTGAATTCTGAATTTATCCTGAGCCTACTACTGTTCATGCACACACCTCCAGAAAAAGAATCAATTACCTGCCCTTGTCAAACTGCACCTAAGATTCTGATAGGATAGCTTCACTGGGCTTAATCTTGGTTTAAAGCTACTGCCAAGAATATAAGCAAGACCCCACACATGAAAAGAAAACAGCATATATAAACACCCATCCACTTTTATAGGAGAGTTCCTGCTTCTGACCCACTCCCACCTTACCACTGGAAAAGAACATAATCTTTTAATCAATCTCCTCACTCTTCACCAAAGTGCTAGTTTCTTCTTGAAATAAGCATATTTTTGGAGACTGATCTGTTTATGAAAACGTGGAGTGGAGAAAATGTGGGCCAATGACACTGTTAATATTTTCATCAATAGTCTAACATTCATTCATTTAACAAGTATTTACTGAATGCCTATTGTATCTCTCTTTTAGGGACTGAGAATATACCAGTGTACAAAAAGATTAAAAAGAAAGAAATTGCTGCTCCTACAGAGTTTATATCCTAACAGGTGTAGACAAAGAATAAACACAAGTAACTTATTTGGTATGTTAGAAAAAGTGATACGGCGGGGGGTGGGGGGGGGGAAGGTGGGAAGTCTCTCCCTGTCCTCTTACCTGATCAATCTGCCATTTTCCACATAGTACTGCACACGGAAGTGGATGATCATAGGAGGCCCAAATTGGTCGATACCCTAAAAACAAAAGCACACACAAAAATCAAGCTATTTCTAGTTACTTTGAAAATGGGTTTCAAAAGCAACCAAAATACAATTATTATTTGCAAGATACTTTTTAATCACTAATAGGTTTTATTTACTTATAATGAGTGGGGACTTGTAGTAGGTAGACAGTCATCCTATATAGATACCAGGTTCATATAAAATTAGGAAGTTATGAAGCAAAACAGGGCACGCTCTATCTGATTTTCATTCACTGTAATGCCAATGACAACATAAGGGAAGATAAAAATAAATGCCAGTGGAAATTTCTAGCTGAGATCCAGCTCCTCGCTCAGCTCTGTTCCCTGTGGTGACCATTTGCTCCTTATTACAAATGTTCTCTTGTTCCTCTGACATTCCACATAGCAAATTCTAATATGCTGTTTGTTTATTTAGACATTCATGTTCTTTACTTTGTAGCTGGCTTTGCAGTAGCCTTCTAGTTTATTCCAAGACTTCTTAAATACAAATTAGAGGACCTAGGATTACTATTCCTGACTTACTAGGGAGGTTCTGGAAACACGAAGTGAATTCTCTATTAATTTCTCTCATGTAAAGGAAATTAATGTTTGTGAAATAAAGCACCAGCATAATGAATAGACAAAGCATCAAATGCAAGTACAGTAAAAGTAGATTTAAAAATTAGTAATAACTTCTAGAACAGCAATTTTGACACCTAGCATAGCCATAAGAGAAGAGCAAATAATTTTTCCATACTTTTCATTTCAAAGCATTATTCCAAGATTATTAAAGTTATTATCCAACATTATTTAATAGATAATCCAGATTCTATTTATTATTTGCTATAAGCTATTAATACTTGATTAATGTGACACTTTAGAACTTATAATTTTCTTTTCCCATTTTCTACTATATAAAGTATTGCTTACAGTTTTCTTCTAATGTACAACAGCTAAAATAAACATTTTTTTAAAAAATCAAAATAATTTTGCTTATAAATGTAATCTCACCCAAGTGACTTCGTATTGTCGTACCTTGCTGGCCTCTTTCTTCCATTCTTTTGGACAATATTTGTAAAGCTTTTGTGACATCTCCATATACACATGTTCATTATCTGTACATCCAAAAAAAAACAAAAAAAAAGACCAGATGCTAAAGATTTTTAAAAGAAAAAAATATAGAAAGAAACAAGTTTCTTTTAAAGCCTCAAGATGTGTGAATGTAGTCTGAATTCACATATTAGAAAACCCAAGGAGATAAAAGGTCCTGTGAACTAGACATTAATGAGATACTTGTGAATTATTTTGCTTTTGCAATACAGAACACATACTATTAAAGTATATAATATTTAGAAGAAATCTTAGTTGCCAAATTCTGCTTTTACTTGGTTTCTAGGGTCATTATGACGTATAATCTAACTTCTATCACTGTGGGTGTTAGTCTTAAGAAAACATGCTTTCATTCAGCTCAAAGAAGACTGCTCTCATAGGTACAAAATAATAAAGCATGGCAGAAACACCATCTTAATTGCCATGTAAGAAATTAGAAAACACTGACGATATCAGTTCATTTTCAAGTGAGAAGTCTGACCCACATTTTGTGAAGACTAATCTTTAAGACTATTTCTTGTCTGTGTTCCACACACAGCAAAACACAGCATTACAAAATGATAAGCCCTTACTCACACTGCCTTTTGGATCAGTTTCATGGAAAAGAGAAGAAAAATTTTATGAAAAACAAGTATGAATGCCAAAATATCCCTTCCAGGGGATGATGCTCATAAGGTGAACAGAAAATAGGACTGCTAAAACCTATGTTAAAGTGATCTAAACACGTGAAAAGAAGCTGGTAGAAAACAAACATTTTCATATGTCCCAAAGATAATCTTTTAAAAGAGAAAGATATTTCACAAAAGAAGTCTTTGGCATTCCTATATTGTACAAAGTTTTAAGTCTTTTCTAGATTCCTTTTATTCTATCACGAAGGAGACATCTTCACGGAAAGCTCTGCATAAAAATGTACCTGTTCTGGAAGTGTGTCTCTTTGACTACTCCAAAGATGTGCACACTTTGCTACACTTTGACTCCAAGCTGAATACTGGGATTTGACTGGAAACATGACAGAAGAAAATAGGAAGGGTAAAGTTACTCAGTTATAAATGACATTAAGTTAACCAATATTAAGGAAAGGGTTAGGAAAGAGATCCCAGAGACAAAAAAAAGGAATAGCTACTTAAATCCAGTTAATTAGGTCAACTAACACTATCTCCCATCTCATATCACTGATTAAACATGAAATAGACAAGACCAGACAATCTTCCTGTCGAAACTGATTTGTGTTTGGCTTGAGTTCCCATCTAAAGAAGCAACATAATGAATAGAATTAAAACTGTTCACCATAATAGTACATACATATATTTCTAAACTGCCACTATACCTCTGCCACCTACAGTTTGACCAGAGATTTATACCTTAAGAATTCTCAACACACATTAATCCTGCAAAGCCGGTGGAGTAGTAATTTCCATTTGACATGAAAAAACTGACATTGAGGGAACTCAAGTGGCATGTCCAAAGCCACACTGCTAGTTAGTGGTAGAACTGGAATTAGAACCAGGTCAACTGATTCCTGTTCCAATGTTCTTTCACCATACTATTATCTCTTTTTTAAAAAGGACATCTTAAAAATTAGTTTGAAACCTAAGGAAGCTGTAAACTGGTTTTATTGGACTGATTTGTTGAACAACAAGGATTTAGCAGTAGTTGTAGTAAGAAGAATTAACCTTGAGCATGGAATACTAAAAGTTACTTAGAATCTCTAGAGCCTCTTATGGCTCTCAGACTCTTCCCTGAAAGAATGACTGAAGTATGCACTAACGGAAGGATGGAGCTTGGCAACTGTGTTTTATTGTTTTAACTACCACAGGAAGAAACTGAAGAGCAAAGGGCTGATTCACAATGTCCTGATGTGTTGCCTGCTCCATGCTCTTTAGCCTCTCCTAAAAAGGCAACTGAAAACAGTTTACATTTTCGGGGAAAGGGGCCTTGTTTATCAGCTGACCAACTTTATACTGATATACTTCCCAACTTGGCAGGTATAAGCATATTATTGTATTGACCAGATTTCCAAGACATCTTAAGCCTTTAAATTTACCATATTCAAGTATAAGATAGAATTAAATACACTGCACCAAAAAAAATTCTTCTTGACAAAATGAGCAAAGATACATAGAAGACTAAACTAGAGAAATTTAAAAATATCATTTGAAGGAAGAAAGCTTATAATAAATGGCTTTAGAGAAGTCCCAGAAATTTAACTCTAAGGTATTATGAGAGAAGAAAGCTTATATGAAGTCCTTTACTTAAAAATCTTCTCCTCATAAAGAATATAGAAGAAACTGACCCGATATTTCCAAGTCATATAGTCTGACTGGAAAAAAGAGAAGGGGTAAGAGAGAAAAATAGAAAATAAGATTAAATTAATAATTACTTTGTGATACTATATAGTTAATAGCAAGAGAAAATGAAAAGAGAAGTCAGTTTAAAGTCAAAAATTATAAAACAAATTAAATTACTTTCCTAAGAGTTCCAGCTACTCCCTGAATGCAAGGAAACAAAAATCGAGCTTGCTTCATTAAAACATGGAAGAGCAAACACATAGAAGGAATCGAGATTCTTAAAGAGGAATCAATTTTTAAGTTCAGACTATAACAAATACATGCCTAAAATCCTAAATATTGTAAAAAAAAAAAAAACACAGAAATTGAGATTAAAAACATAAAGACTATATCTACACTAAAAATGAAGATCAGCCCATGGGTATTTTGACAACCACAGTTTTATAACAATATGCCCAATTTAAGTTACAGCTATAAGATGTCATTTCCTCAGGGATAGTTGGCTAAATCCATCAGAGAGGGCTCTAAGACTTACTTTGTATAACACTGAGTCCAAAGAGGTGGCAGTCCTTTAGCCGAAGCAGGTCACAAACCTGGACCAGCAACTGGTGACACAGAATCTTAACCTGCAGGGGGAAAAGGCATGACGTGAAATAACAATTCAACTAAGTCCACCCAGGGAACCACAATCAGGCAATTTAACGCATCGTAAATATACTCCTTGAAAGGACGAGCTGACAGTAGAAAACAACTGCTGCTTTATCCAAATCACTTTCACCTGGGGTTGGGTTGCAGTAATGATGATCACAGTACCAGTTTTTACAACATGGTAATAAAAGACTCACAGATCTTACCATACATGGACAAAGCTCTGAAACCATGGTGCATGATAAATGATAAATGAGTTTCAGAAAGTAAGCAGCATAGCCTACTCACATTACCAAAAATATTTATTTGGCAAGTATCTTTTTTAAAAAAAGTTAATTCATTTGTGTTTTTGACTAATAAAACTGTATATATTTATAGTACACAACATAATGTTTTTTTTGTTTTGTTTTGTTTTTTTTTTGAGACGGAGTCTCGCTCTGTCGCCCAGGCTGGAGTGCAGTGGCCGGATCTCAGCTCACTGCAAGCTCTGCCTCCCGAGTTCACGCCATTCTCCTGCCTCAGCCTCCTGAGTAGCTGGGACTACAGGTGCCCACCACCTCGCCCGGCTAGTTTTTTTGTATTTTTTAGTAGAGACTGGGTTTCACCGTGTTAGCCAGGATGGTCTCGATCTCCTGACCTCGTGATCCACCCGTCTCGGCCTCCCAAAGTGCTGGGATTACAGGCTTGAGCCACCGCGCCCGGCCACAACATAATGTTTTGATACATGTATATACTGTGGAATGAATAAGTCAGACTAACATGCATCATGTCACATATGTATCATTTTTTGTGGTGAGAACACTTAAAATTCATTCTTAGCAATTTTCAAGTATACTTCATCACTAACTACAGTCATCATGTTGTATAATAAATCTCTCGAACTTATTCCTCCTAACTGAAATACTGTATTTTTTTACTAATATATCCCCAGTCCCCCTACCTCCTCAGTCTTAGGTAACCATCATTCTATTTTCTGCTTCCCTGAGTCAGACTTTTTTAGATTATGCAGGGTTTGTCTTTCTGTGCCTGGCTTATTTCATTAAACCTAACATTCTCCAGGTTCATCTGTTATTGCAAATGATATGATTTCCCTCTTTTTAAAGGCTGAATTGTGTCCCATTGTGTATATGTGCCACATTTTCTTTATCCATTTATCCACTGGTGCACACTTAGGTTGATTCTGTACCTTGACTGTTATGAATAGTACTGCAATATACATGGGAGTGCAGATGTCTCTTTGACATAATGATTTCATCTCCTTTGGGTACATACCCAGGAATGGGGTTCCTGGATGATATGGTAGTACTATGTTTAACATTTTGAGGAACCCCCATAGTGCTTTCCATAATGACTTTACTAATTTACGTTCCCAGCAACAGTGTACAAGGGTTCCCTTTTCTCCACATCCTTGTCAACACTTGTTATCTTTTGTCTTTTTGATAATAGCCATTCTAACAGCCATGTCACATTTCTCTGCTATTTAGTGATACTAAGCATTTTTTCATATTCCTATTGGTCATGTGTGTATCTCCTTTTGAGGAACGTCTACTCGGGGCAACAAGTATCTTTTCAAGGAAAGCTTTCCTCCTAATAGTCTACCCCAAAAACTCATCTACTGTACAATGAGTTGGTCTAGACATTTTTTTTTTTTTTAAAGACAGAGTCTCAACCAACTAATTTTTTTTTTTTTTTGGTAGAGACAAGGTCTCTCACTATGTTGCCTGGGCCGGTCTTAAACTCCTGACCTTAAGCAATCCTCCCATCTTGGCCTCCCAAAGTGCTGGGATTACAGGGATGAGACACCATGCCCAGCCTGCCTAGCTTTTATCACTGTTATTGTCTAATATATTTTCAGTGCCTAAACCAGATTCCTTTTCTGAGTCTTAGTATAATTCAATCATAAAACTATATTAATTTGGAACTCTGGAAGTAAGTTATTCTGACAAGTCAAAAGTTAATTGATAGTCTTTAAAACATACAATTTTCTTTATCAATATTATTATAAATAATTATAACATAATTATATAATTATTGTATATCAATTATATAATTATTATATATCAATAATAATCATACCAATATTATATCAAATAATTATTATTACAAATAATTATTATCTCATAATAATGCTTTCTCAAATGTTTAAAGAGGTATTATGGGGGACAGTAATTCTGCTGATTCTATCTTGTTGACTTCAGAATTATCAAGGTTTATTAGAGTTTGGATAGACTTTAAGAAACCACCCAGGTCAATTTATTTATTCTATAGGAGCAGAAAATAAAACTCAGAAAGCTTAAAGTCATATCACTAATAGTGGCAAAGGCAGCAACTCACAGCTTATTTGTGTATTAAAATACTTTAATTATTAAATATATGTATTAAAATATTGTAACATGAAAGTTTAGCATTTTACCTATACACATTACATATGGCATCTCCCCTTTTATTAGTACTATTTGCTTTCAAATCCTTTTTTCAATAATGATGACAATGGGTTTAAGTTATTATAAATTCTAAAAATTAACTGAATTAATGACTCCTTATCATATCTTAATATGAAACTCAGATTAGGAAAATAAAGACATGCCAAGATCCCTTGAAATTTGAAAGTCAAACAATTCAGAACTGGTGATAATTCCAATTGTAGTAAGAAGAATGGGTTTACTGCTCTTTTCCACATTCATTATTAAATAGCAACCAACCTAAAGTATCTTACCCACTGGAAAGAGCAGAAGATATTTAAGGCCAAAGTAGCATCAAGTGAGCTGCTTGGAAGTACCAGGAACTCATGCAGGGGCAGTGTCTTATTTTACATTCAGGATATGTAGTAGGCACTCATTAAATGCTTGATGAATGAAAGCCAGGAATCTGATTCCCTGTGGGCTCCTCCTCACCTTCATTCTGTTCCATGAGTAGAGATCAAGACCATTCCCCGAATTACTGAGCAAACCATTTTATAAATATGCCACTCGGCATTTTAGGAAAACTATATAAATGCAAACCCATGCTCCGACGCCACTGGAGAACACATTTGCCAATGGGAAATCATTATCATTCTCTCTGTGTACAGCTAGCATGAATCACCTGACATCCTAGATTTCTGTCCTACAGAAGTCCTATGTCATTTCCAATATTCACTTTAAAAGGTCTCTGGATTTTGAGTTCCATATCATCATAATTCTGCTTTACAAATAGGCTTAAGCAATGATAAAGAAGAGGAGAACACATCAAATGTCATAAAATTCTGAAGTTGAACTATATACTACAAATTTGTGAATTAAAATGTCATGTTGTTTACAGCACCTTTAATCCTTAGTTTGACTGTATTTAAACATGTTAGGTACAAAGCAGCTAAGATAAAATGCAATGAGAAGTTAAAATTCCAAACCACAAACTAAATGTATAGGAAATAAACTGTTTTAACCTTGTGTGACTGCAGACCAAATAACGTTACATATTTCCTCCATGCAGCCCATACATTTATTATTCTTCTGCTAGTAAATCAAGTATTTGGAGCCTACTGGTAAAGCTCTTTAACAAATATCAAGTAAGCAATGCTCTTATTCAAAAACTATAATTAAATAAGGTCATGGCTCTGAAGTCTTGCCTGCTGTGAAAACAAGCTTGAGTTTTCTGTATTTCCATATTATGAGTCTTTAAGGCTACATTTTAGCTGACTGCGAAATTTCTCAAGTTCTTTAATCTTCAGGGGCAATGGGAATGTTAAAAAGTGCTATATAGTATGAGGTATTAAGAATAAGAATTAAAGCTTTATTCTAAAAATATACTCTATATGGACTTTTTTTTTTTCCTTGACACAAGGTCTCACTCTGTTGCCCAACCTGGAGTGCAGTGGCATGACCACGGGACATTGCAGTCTCAATCTCTCAGACTAAGGGGATCCTGCCACCTCTGCCTTCCAAGTAGCTAGGACCACAGGCAGTGCCACCATGCCTGGCTAATTTTTAACTTTTATGTAGAGACTGGGGTCTCACTATGTTGTCCAGCCTGGTTTCAATCTCCTAAGCTCAAATGATTCTCCTGCCTCATCCTCCCAAAATGCTGGGATTACAGGTGTTAGCCACCTCACCCAGCCTCTGTATGGACTTTTAAATTAAAACAGCATGTGATCCTAAATGTTAAAGGTTTGTTATTGTGCAAGAATGTTTAAAATATACTCTAGAAAAAAAGAATTGTTGGCTGGGCGCGGTGGCTCATGCCTGTAATCCCAGCACTTTGGGAGGCCGAGGGGGGTGGATCACAAGGTCAGGAGATCGAGACCATCCTGGCTAACATGGCGAAACCACGTCTCTACTAAAAATACAAAAAAAATTAGTAGGGCATGGTGGCAGGCACCTGTAGTTCCAGCTACGTTGGAGGCTGAGGCAGGAGAATGGCGTGAACCCAGGAGGCAGAGCTTGCAGTGAGCTGAGATTGCACCACTGCACTCTAGCCTGGACGACAGAGCGAGACTCCATCTCAAAAAAAAAAAAAAAAAGAATTGTTTTGTCTTAGTGAAGACATATAAGCTCGTGGCCACAATTCATATCAATCAAATCTTTATGGCTCCTACATTTACAATGGTTTTACTTCCAAAATTGTCCCAAGTTTCCATATTTGCCTGATGATTAAAATAATTTAAAATAGCTTCTATTAATGCAACTCACAGGGAATTCAGAATGACCAAAACACTAAATTCATTCCATATGCAAAAAGGCAACTTTCTATCAACCACACCTGTCAGGGAACGAACTTTTATGGCTAAAAATACATAGAGAGAAATTATGAAAAAAATTAGTTAATAAAATCGTTCTCGCTACAGTTTATTTATTACACTCAAACTCTATACACATTGACTGCTATTTTCTGAACACAAAGATAACACTTTGTAAAAAGCGAGGCAGCCATGAAATGTTTTTCTGGTAGTGGAGAAGCCTCCATCCTACTTAATCTAGTCCCTTCTTTGGTCCAACCGCTTACTAGAGAGGAGTTTGGGCATAGCAAGAGTCTACATGCCTGTGTCCTACCTTAGACCTGCCCTGAAATAAGAACTCTTACAGGCCTACATGGGATTCAGACTCTTCATCTTGGTTTATTAACAGAGTACATTAATGAAAACAGTTCCAGGAAATAAAAACAAGTAAATTGATACTCAAGGGCTCACTTACTGAGTAATTCACATATGCCAGGCGCTTCACTAAGTACTTCATGCACGTGACATCTTTAAATCCTTGCAATGTCCCTGTGCATAGGGTAAGATTATCCCTACTTCACAGATGAGGAAACCAAAGAAACAAAACAAAACAACTAGAAAATTTGCCCTAGATTGCAAAGTTGTGGAGCAGGGATTTTTACAGGTCCCTGTGACTCTAAAACCCACCTTAATAGTGATATATGACCTCACAGTCCATGATCATAGTCCTAACCATCTCAGAGAGATTATCATACTAACATTGTAAAAGAGGAGAGTTGAAAAAGTATAATTTATCTCTGCCTAGGTATTAAAATGACAATAGCAGCTATTACATATGCATCAGAAATTATGCTGAGTGTTAATCCTAAATTCTCACAATCACCCTGCAGCATACGTATTACTCTCATTTTAAAGGTGAAATGTTGAGGCCGAAAGAGGTATAATTAACTTTCCCAAAGTCATTCAGATATGAGATTTGAATTCAGGTCTGTGTGTTTTAAGTATATCCATGTGTTTTCACTTTCATACTACTCCTCAATTATTCTATAAAGGGAAGACAGAAATGAAGCGAATACAAAGTCAGTACCCACTACATACCAGGTACTGGGCAAGTTGCTTTTACAAGTGAAAAAAGTGAGTAAGCTTAATCAACTTGTCCAAAGGTCACAAATCTAGTGAACTGCAGAGTCAAAATATGAATAGTCTTTTTCTTAGCAACGATGACAATTATATTATTATTGCTAACAACAACCAACATTTACTTTGCACTTACTACGTATCACGTACTGTTCTAAGAGCTGGGCCAGGAACATGTGCCAAAAACACAGTCGAGTAACCAGAATTCCAAAGAGTGAAAGAAACTAGGTGATGCTGGTACGTAGATCTTTGCCTGTTTCACTCAAATTTTAGAGTATCTATAGCATCTATTTAGGGGATCTTATTAAATGCAGATCCTTGCGTCCTACCTCAGACTCACTACATTAGCATTTCTCTCATCCAAGTACTAACCAGGCCCGCCTCTGCTTAGCTTTTGAGATCATATGAGATCAGGCAACATTCGGTGTGGTATGGCCATAGACTACACAATCTGAATATTACTTAGCTGCCCCAAATAATTCTGATGTACGTTCAAGTTTCAAAACCGCTGATCCATAGGAACAAATGAACTGGCTATCTTCCCGTTTGTTCTCTATAACTATCTTCCTCAGCTGAGATTTTAGTGTAAATTAATTTCTTTGAAAATTATAGTCAGCTTTCAGTATTCTTTACTAAGTCAGATTAGCCTTCCCTTCATTAAATGTGGTTAGGTGTTCCACACCTGCTTGTGTGTGTACACACACATGCACATACACACACATATTGCACCAGGTGAAAAGACAAATGAAAGTGAGAGAAGTTTCTTAAGTGCTTATGCTATCTGTCCTAGAATATGTATATTTTTAAAATTTAGTGGATATCTTTTATATAACTGTATAGAAAGTAAAACAAAATATTCACATATGTAAGTAGGATTAGATTATAACTTATTTTGCTAGTGCCCACACTGAAAAAAGAGATATATTGTCGATATTTATTCAATTTAAAAAACCAAATGCTGCCAGAATAATAGCCCACCACTTCACACATCCAAAAACAATTTCAATTACCCTGAGCAGCAATGTAGCTAATCATTGGAAATTCTGCCCAAAAGATGACAAAGTTCATCCAATAGGCAGGCCTGTTGGATCCTCAGACAACCCCTATAAGTAAAATGAGGATATAGCAGTAAATTAAGAAATGGTGTTGATTGTCAGAATAAAGCTAAAATGACTATGGTAATAAGCAGAAACTTTTCTTAGCTAAACTTTTTAATGAAATTATTTAAATATCATATACATTTCAGCATAATATCTGCAAATATTCTTTTATATAGCAATTCGATTTAAAATATAGTAACATGGCGAGGCACAATGGCTCACGCCTGTAATCCTAGCACTTTGGGAGGCCGAGGCGGATGGATCACTTGAGGTCAAGAGTTCGAGACCAGCCTGGCCAACATGGTGAAACCCCGTCTCTACTAAAATTACAAAAATTAGCCAGGCGTGGTGGCAGGCACCTGTAGTCCCAGCTACTCGGGAGGCTGAGGCAGGAGAATCACTTGAACCTGGAAGGCAGAGACTGCACTGCAGGCTGGACAACAGAAAGAGACTCTGTCTCAAAAAAAAAAAAAAAAAAAAATCAAAATCAAAATAAATAAAAATATAGTAACATATAGGAAAGAAAACTAATTCAAGTCATGCACTAAGGCAATTTTTCCTCTAATTCCATCAGAATACAATCTATGAAAGAAAGAGTATGAAAGTTGATAACACAGAGAGGGGCTGAAAAATGTTAGGCATGACATTGATTACCAGAAAATTGTTTGGCAGTCTCTACCAAAGCTAAACATAGTGTAACCTATGATTCACAAATACTCTTCAGTAGAAACCGAGAAATATTTCTACATGTGCATACACATAACATGTTCATAACAGTTTTACAATAGCCAAAAACTTAAAACAATCTAATATCTATCCATCAACAGTAGATTAATAGATCAGGTCTAATCGTACAACGGAATATCACGCAACAATGGAAAAGTAGTAATTATTGTCACATGGATTCACATGAATAAATTTCACAGGCCAAATGTTGAGTAAAAGAACTCAGAAGTGAATATATCACATAACTTCAGCTTCACGAAGTTCAGAAACAAGCAAAACTTTGGTGACAGAGATCAGAATAGTTTTTACCCTTTAGGTGAAGGATATTGACTAGGAGGGGTCACAAAGGATCTTTCTAGGGTGCTGGCAATGTTTTATATCTCAAACAGGTGATGGTTACATGGATGTACACAATTGTAAAAATTCATTGAGCTGCACACATAAGGTTTCTATACTTTGCAGTATGTAAATTATAACTCAATTTTTTTTAAGTTAAAAAAAATCATATTCCTCAATGTTCAAGTTATCTAAGCAAGTTGACTATGACTCACAAACCATAAGCAACAGCTTAGTGCTCAAACGTTCAGCCTACGCACCTAGTCCTGGAAACTGGCTAGACTTCGGCTACTCTTAAAATAAAATCAAGATGCATATTAAAAAGCTACCTAAGGCCAGACATGGTGGCTCACGCCTGTAATCCCAGCACTTTGGGAGGCTGAGGCGGATCACCTGAGGTCAGGAGTTTGAGACCAGCCTGGCCAACATGGTGAAACCCCGTCTCTACTAAAATTACAAAAATTAGCCGGGCATGGTGGTGAGTGCCTGTAACCTCAGCTACTCGGGAGGCTGAGGCGGGAGAATCACTTGAACCCAGGAGATGGAGGTTGCAGTGAACCGAGATCACGCCAACACACTCCAGCCTGGGTGACAGAGTGAGACTCTGTCTCAAAAAAAACCTATCTAGGTTGGTACAAAAGTAACCGTAGTCTTTGATATCACTTTCAATGGGAAAAGCCACAATTACTTTTGCACCAACCTAACAGCAATGATTACCATTTCATGTGTGCGGGTGACAACTCTAAGCATTTAAGACACAAATTCATATACTTCAATAGAAGTTATATTTTGATCAAAAGTTTAAAAAGAGCAAATGTTTGTTTTTCATTATAGTAACTACAGTCCTCTAATTCTAACCCAGGTGAGAGAATATTGAAGGCACCTGCACACAAGCCAGAAAGCTAAGTGAATGTATGTATGGACAATTTGACAACTCAATTCTGCCACACTATTACTGCCCTAATTTTGTAATGATTTCACCCTTAATCAAGTCATAAGTTGAATGTGGTCACTGGTGAAAACATAATATTCAGACATTTCTAAAACTCGATATACTCACATTTATGATAATGTTCAGAGATTCATCGTTGGGAAGGAAAATGCACACGCTGCGGCGGTCTTGCATGACTCTGTTGTTATGGAAATTCAATTTGTTCATTGTGTTTTGGGCTCTCTGGTGGTCAGGGCTGGGCTCTGGGTCCTTGGCAATTCCTCAGGTTCCCAGCACTCCAAAGCCAAGCTCGCCTCCTCATCACATGCCCTGCAGGAGAAGCATCATGGTGTTCGACTACGTGGGTTTCATAGCTGTGAAAAAGCCAAAGGGGAGACTCCTGAAGAAAGGCGGTGAAGACTGTGAAAAGCAGGTTGGGAAGATGAACACAGCACTACTACTCCTGTGGGCACAGAGACAGCATGTCTCCAGCCAGCACCACCTTGTTTAATACATGGGAACTCACGGAAATTCATTCTGTATTTTGCCCACAAAGTTTTAAAGCTTTCATCCACAGTCAACAATTAAACTTATAACCAATGAGAGCCTCACACATTCAAGGATGTACTAAGCACTACAGGCCTCACAGAAACAGAGATCCTGTCTTGGAGGAATTTTCCATTCCACATGGGAGATAAAGGGTTTTGAACATGAAATGACAAAAACAATAGCAATAAGAAAATTCTCTTTCTCTTTCATTACTATCAAACTCAAATAAATGTCTTGGCTCTTACATTACATTCATTCTTCAACCATTGTGGTCTGGCCTCCACTTCCTTCACTTCACCAACATGGTTCTGCCAAAGGAAGCCCGTGATCTCTAGGCCATCACTTTAATTGATCTCTCTACGACATTTATCCTGGTTGTTAAGCCCTCCTTACAACATTCTTCTTCGTTTTTATGGCTCTGTCTCTCCTGCTTCTTTAATCTGATAATGCAAACTTGATTTTTCCATTTATTATTTCATAAACCAATTAATACACAGATAAAACAAGACTGTGTGTATCAAACCATGTTTGTATAGAAAAGAGGGATGGATTTTGGATGCCTCTCATATCTAATTAGTTCTATTAAACATATTGTATTGTTTAACTTATCAGATTTTTGATATAATTTTGTTTGCAAGTAACAGAAATTTTATCTCCAATTTTCAGTAATTACACCCATTATTTCTGTTTTATGTCTCATTGCATTGGTGAGACCTTGCAGAATAATTTTAAAACAGTAGTGGGTGTTTTCTACCTTTAATGGGTATGTCTAGTATTTCATATATTGTTGCTAATAGAACACTATTCAACCAAAACATGTCAAGACTAGCTGTCTCTCAAACCATTAGTATTTATATTATTCCTTTCCAGCTACATTTATAGGATGTAAAAGACTATTTCTAGGAATATGGAACTGTTTTACTAGGTGGAAAGTATATATAACCATACAATTTTCATAGAAAAAGCATTAATACTCACATAAATCAAAGCATAAATGAAATAGAATCTTGGCCAATTTGCTTAAGGTTAAATGTATAACTCTTATCAGCAGGAGGGGAAAGAATATATTCTTAGATAGTTGGCACATTGATAAAATATACTCTAGTATTCTTTTTAAAGAATAAATAAAACATCATCCACAAGGTAATTACTCGAAACTAAAACAAACGGTAATCATATATATGGTACTTCATTATTAGGAAGGTGGCTAAAAGCCCAATTAGAAGTATTCTGCTTTTCTTAAAGAATAATTGTTTCATGTTAGGTTATAGCCAGTACATCACCTCGTGGGGGGTCATCGGAGGCCTGTGCTATCGTTCTCACTAGGATGGATGGTTAATCCATGTGTTGTTCTAGGACCACAAACTACGCCCCAATCTACTCATCCATCTAGGGAAAAATGCATGCTTTTATGTCAACAATTCCAAAGCATCAGTTGGAGGACCAGCATTGGCTGCATCAGAATCACCTGGGTGTTTGTAATAAATACAGAATCCTGAGCAGGTATTCCAGCATTTCTATTCATACAGAATTTCCAGGGTCAGGGCCAGGTATTTCTGATGTGTAGCAACAGATGGAAACCACTTTAGCAGAAGGAAGGCACTGAGTAGAGGGTTGAATATAATACATTGGAAAAATATCTTAAGGATAAAGAATTGGGAAAAAGTAATATATGTGAATATCACATCATTATAATAGGAAAAACAAGGTCCTCAACATTGTCAAAGGTATAAATTCCTACAACAGGTCAAATTCGTGTGCTCAAAACATTTTCCTGAAAAATGTTACTAGGCGGTATAGGGATACGTAGGTTTGCAAAATACTGTACCCTATATATGTCCTCTCTTAGAAATTCAGAAAGTGTTAAAGGCTCTGAGAAGTCCTGCAGGCAACTTCTTATATTTAATGCATTGTTTCTCAAACTTACATAAGCACACAATACTTTTTCCCCAAGGCATATCTATTGAGGTCCTACAGAACAATATTCTTAGGCATACCATTGAGAGATACAATTCTAAAATTATTTCATCAAATATTATATTTCATGGCAAAATTTTCCCCATATAATGATATATTCTAATACGTAGTCTTCCTTTTTGCAATATAAATCTTTATAAGAAGAAATTATAAGCTTTGATTGAATGCATCTTAAATTCAAACCCTTAAATAATATTCATCCCAGTATAATTCTTCTTATTTAAATCTATACTTCAAATTGAGTTAGTCCTATAATTTTTCACTTCTAATTAAACCAATTACAGCAGGGTATGTCTACTGACCTACTTTCCAGAATTAAAAAATAAACTAGGAAAAAATATCTTCTGAGCTGTGGGATGTTTCCAGAGCTTCATTAAAATAACTTGAAATTTTCATTTGGGTACAATTTTTGCTTCTTTTATGGTTCAAATATGCAGCACAAAAGATGACTGGAAGAGGATTATTGAAGCAAATTTAATAAAAGCAGAGTCTACATGAAGCAGCGCTGCTTCACTGCTACTCTTTCTGCTTTGAGGATGGCAAACTAGAAAAGCGCTTAAAGAGAGAGATTAAGTTTTTACTTTACCCAAGACAGCATTAAAGCTGATTAAAAGGCTCCACTGAAATGGTAAAATGGCCATATCTCTAATATGTGCCAGTATAAAACTTTTAATCTAAAATTGGGCAGTCCTGGGGAAAAGAATTAGATTAAATTTATACCAATTTGAATTCTAGAAGTCAACCTCATGGCAGCCATTGGCTACTTATTCTGTGTCCTACACTAAATCTGAACTCAGTCCCAGGAGGACACATTTCCTACTACTACAGAGCAACCCTTTTCTGCCCAATGATCTTAGGATCAATTATCTATGAAGAGTAGACCATGTGGTAGTAACATATTTGCCAGGGAACAAAAAAAAAAAAATCAGTTTTAATAATGATCAAATTCCACCCACCTCTTTATTTATTAATACCCAACTTACAAAAACAATACGTTAAGCTATACAATTTCCCCCTGGAACTTTAAGCGCACATTATTATAAGTTCCTTGTTTCCTGATAAGTCCCAATGGTTACAAAATTACTCAGTTTCTTTTAAGAATCAGGAAGCCACCACCACCCATGGGCATTCAATACTGATTGTCATTTTTAACAAATTCTGGGAAAAAAACTTTAAAACTGGGTCACTACCCCTAAAAGGATGCAGTTTAGTTATAATGTATCAATACTGATTTGTTAGTTGTGACAAATATACCATAATCCTGTAAGATGTTAGCAACAGGGGAAACTGGGTGCCTGTGTGGTACACAGAAACTCTCTATACCACCTTTGCAACTGTTTCCTAAATCTAAAACTATGGCAATTTTTTTTTAAATTTTAAAATTAAAAGTAGGTCACCAGAAATTTCCTACCCACATAATACAGTGTCATTTTGAACGTAGGCAAAGCAGGATTCTCAATTCTAGGACTGTCTCTCTAAAAAAGTAAAAAGCTGGTAATTTGATAAGATGACTGTAAGCGAAGCATGACTAAGTAGGCATGTATCAACAGTCAATATGGTATCTTTATCACCTAACAAAAACAAGGCAAAAATTTATCTTAGAAAACTTGTATTGCAGAGAATCCTATCTTCCAATTTAATCATCACACATTCATATAGCTCGTGTTACACACACAGTACGGTAATATTTATTTGCTGAAAAGCAGAATACAAAAGTATTACATATTCCCCCTCCACCTATGAGTTCACCATCTAGTTAAGGACATATCACTGCCAAGAAGATTAAAATGATAGTACTGTTCCTGATTTCTAAGAGCACACATACTCTGATGGTCAACTCTCATGCCAACCTCAAAGGAAGATATAATGGATAACAGTATTAAGTATACAAATACTGTGCTATGAATACTGTAGCTAAGATCATTCTGGAATAAACAGTGTATCATTTTTAATGTATAGTGTCCTATCCCAAAAGTAGTATCAAAATGTCTTTAGTAAAATGAGTAGTTTTTGTTCATTCTTTCATTCAACACCTACTGTCTGCCAAATGTTGCTGTATGTGCCGAGTACACTAACAAAAATATCCTGCTCTAATAGAAACAGCCAATAAGCACATGATGTAGATGGTGATATGTACTATGAAGAAAAATAAGCCCAGAGTAGATGATAGAGTTGATGGAGATACGTTTGTGGTGTGGATGCTATTTCATGTAGGGTAATCAAGGGAAGCATCTCTAATGAGTCAATATTTAAGGAAACATCTAAATGAAGAAAGAGATGTAATTTCCTTCTGTCCATCCATCCATCCATGCATCCATCCATCCATCCATCCTAGGCAAGAGTTTTCCATGCCAAGACTCACTTATTGTTCAGAAGAGGCAAAATAATAGTGCTAATGATAGCTAGCATTTACTACAAACTTACTACGTTCCCGTTAAGTACTTATGGTATGTTAAAGAAACCTGCGAATTCACTTGCATGCTTCCCATTCACAGGTGGGATCTATTTCCCCTCTCCCTGGATCTGGACTGGCCCTGAGACTAACTCCTGCTCAGTAAGAAGTTTTTCCTTGTGGATAATCTATTTGTGCAATACTCCTTGTAAGTACTCCTCAGTTGTCTGTCTCCTCTACTTAGCTCTTCTCAGAGGAGGGTCACTTCACTAGCTACACATTTTGCTCAATCTTCAATGACAGGCACACAGTATATGCTCATTAAATGTTAGCTGTTTGTTTTACTATACACGAAGATTCTACTGAATGGTTTTTTAAACTCGCCACTACTGATGTTTTGGGCCAAATATTATTTTTAGTGGGGGGCTGTCCTGCACATTGTAGCATGTTCAGCGG